CTTAGTAATCCTGGTTTCGTTGGAAGCTTCTTTTAGACCAGTTATTATAAAAAATAAAAACGTTTCCTTGTGGTCGCATTGCTAAAAGTAAATACCTTTTTGAAAAAAAAACTCCTTGACGCACCTACTTTTCGACATGACTGTTTACCAGTTCATTAGATTACGGGGTAGAATACCTGTGTTACCCGGCGGATATTACCAGAAATGTGCTAGTGCTGAAAAAAATCAGCATCCCTACAGAGCTGGCACTTCTTTGTTAGACTGTGCGCATCCGTCCCCAAGGGGAAGGGGATATATGTACGTGCCTTGTGCGCATGTTGCATTTCGTCTCTCAATGTATACCCACCTCAGAACTAGAGGTCTCTTTCACATTTCTCTCCGTTCTTCTTCCATAAATTTTCCTCAGTTCTTCCTTGAATCATATAAATAATATGCAAGAGTTAATACCATGCAAGAATTGGCATCGAAAGTTACCTCTAGTGCAGTCCCCGCCTTGAAATATTTTTTTTCCTTCCAAGCCTAAATCGCATCACGAGGAATAAAAAGAAACCCGTTTAATGTTTTGAGGAGATCTGTCAGAGGGGCAACGGGTCCCGCCAGCGGAAAAAAACAACGCTGGTAAAAATTCTGGCAAAGCTTATCGTTCCATAGTATGTACTCTCACTTTTTTTCCATCTAAAGGAGCTTGGAATTCTAGTCAGATCTTCTGCTGGAATTATATCAAGGTATTATTTCTTTGCTTTTGTCATGAAAAAAAGTACTCAGATCACTCAGCGTTTCTGGGAAACCAAAGTATATGGACTCGATAAAAATCGTCTCGATATGATGACTACTCGATATGCCACAAGGACGTGTCGTTGGTCCGTTTCGCGAACAAGTTTTGTTTTCCCAACCAGTTTCGTTTTACGAGTCTAACGAGTAATTTGAACGAGTGTCGTTTTTAAACGAGTCAAGTCCTTGTGGCATATCGACTACTCATCGTATCGGGCAGATTTTTATCGAGTCTTTATTCCCTGGTTTCCCAGAAATGCTGTGTGATCCAGATACTCGTGCACGGTGAGTGGTCATGTCATTAAAAAAGCAGAGGGTTCCGGCGTGTTCTGTGAATGTCACATGTTTGCAATACTTTCATAAGATTTCTTAGCAGCAAGGTTGAAGTGGTTGCTTTATTTTTGTAACAACCGAGCAGGAGCCTTTGACCTTTTGTCTCCACTGAGGAACACTAAGCGGGGTAAAATACTTTTTTAAATATTTGCGTAGCTGTTTATAACATGTATGTATTGAGCACACCTACATATATTTTTTTTAGTTTCTACCTGCGAATGTGATGGAGAAGGAAACAGAGAACGGGAAGATTGTTTTTTAGAGTTCCCAGCCTTTTCACCTCCTCCTGCTCCTTCATCTTTTCCTATTTCCACACGCCTCTTAGGCTTTTTCCTCTGCAGTTTCGTGAAATACAAGTAACAAGTAATTAGAACTCAACTTGATCATGACAACGAAATGTTTCAGTTTATCTAACATCATGTTTTGGTAAAGTTTCCAAAACACATATCGCTGGAGAAAAAAATAACATTTTAATTCATTAACCACCTCACTCGCACAGGTCCAATTAGCAAAACGTCTCCCTAAAAAGTTTGAGTTCAGGAAACATTTTGAGTTTTTCGGTCCTTCGTCTGTAGTAAAGGTAATAGTGATATTTATGGTTGTGCTACACACGTCTTTTTAAAGTGTTAAAGTACCATGAGACCTTTGCCTAATTTTCACCGGTATACTATGATAAAATTTAAACTAATTAAACAAGTTAGAAGGAGCCTACTGATGGCTGTCCATCGAATATCGTTGGGAATCCTATCCATGGATGTTAGTACGGGGCTAACTATGGGTCTGGGTTAAGACTTCTGTTAAGTTTGTTATCAAAACCTTCGGTTCGAACCAAATTGCTTTTGGAATACCGAGAATTATCATTTGGGGCTGCCATAAGGAACTTCTTTGAAAAAGTTTCATAAAAGTTTAAAGTTTCTCTTCATAACTAGGGCATCTCTTATACAAAAACATAACATAGCACCTAATCATATCACAGCTGGACGAAACCTCACATGCCTTATATGGCATAATATCAAGGCTATCTTTTGTTAATCTTATTTTCTATAGTTTTGAATAATTTGAGAGAAATAGCTGCAAGTAACACTAGGAAAAAAAAGTAGGCGTTTTGTTGTCGCCCATGTCTTCTCACCAACTAAGGCCGCTGGCTTTCGTTCCACTTACTAGAGCGGAGTTTTCGTTATTCGACTTAAGGCGCGTTCCTTAACTTAGTCAGGAGCCCTTCCTCATTTATTGAGGCGGAAAATCTCTTAACATGCCTAGAACTGACGGGTGGTCAACACTTGCCTTAAACCGAATGATTCTAATTTACAACTACTTCTTAGTACTCCTTGACACACCTACTTTTCGACATGACTGTTTAACAGTTCATTAGATTACGGGGTAGAAAACCTGAGCAACCTGGCGGATATCACCAGAAATGTACTAGATGTACTGAAAAAAATCAGCATCCCCCCTAGCTGGCACTTCTTTGTTAGACTGTGCACATCCGTCCCCAAGGGGAAGGGGATATATGTACATGCCTTGTTCGCATGTCGCATTTCATCTCTCAATTAACAGGAATAAAAACGAGGAAAAAAAAAAGAAACCCGTTAAATGTTTAGAGGAGATCTTGCGACAGAAAGAAATCTGTCAGAGGGGCAACGGGTCCCGCCAGCGGAAAAAAACAACACTGGTAAAAATGCTGGAAAAGTTTATCGTTACATAGTATGTACTCTCACTTTTTTTCCATGATCTAAAGGAGCTTGGAATTCTAGTCAGATCTTTCGCTGGAATTATATCAAGGTATTATTTCTTTGCTTTTGTCATGAAATAAAATACTCAGATCACTCAGCGTTTCTGGGAAACCAAAGTATATGGACTCGATAAAAATCGTCTCGATATGATGACTACTCGATATGCCACAAGGACGTGTCGTTGGTCCGTTTCACGAACAAGTTTTGTTTTCCCAACCAGTCTCGTTTTACGAGTCGAACGAGTAATTTGAACGAGTGTCGTTTTTAAACGAGTCGCTGGACGAAACCTCACATGCCTTATATGGCCAAATATCAACGCTATCTTTTGTTAATCTTATTTTCTATAGATTTGAATAATCTGAGAGTAATAGAGAATTATCATTTGGAACTTCTTTGAAAAAGTTTCATAAAAGTTTAAAGTTTCTCTTTATAACTACGACATCTCTTATACAAAAACATAACATAACACTTTATCAGATCACAGCTGGACGAAACCTCACATGCCTTATATGGCCAAATATCAACGCTATCTTTTGTTAATCTTATTTTCTATAGATTTGAATAATCTGAGAGTAATAGCTGCAAGTAACACTGAGAAAAAAAGGAGCCGTTTTGTTGCAGCCTATGTCTTCTTACTGACTAAGGCCGCTGGCTTTCGTTCACTCTTACTGGAACGGATTTTTCGTTGCTTGACTTAAGGCGCCTTCCTGAACTAAAGTAGGAGCCCTTCCTCATTTATTGAGGCGGAAAATCTCTTAAGATCTGACGGGGGGTCAACACCTGCCTTAAACCGAATAATTCTAGTTCACAACTACTTTATACCAGTTGTACATTAGAATTGACAGCTTCTTTTAGACCAGTTATTATAAAAGAAATAGGCATTTCCTTATGGTCACATTGCCAAAAGCAAATACCTTCTTGAAAAAAAAAACTCCTTGACACACCTACTTTTCGACATGACTGTTTATCAGTTCATTAGATTACGGGATAAAAAACCTGAGCAACCCGGCGGATATCACCAGAAATGTACTAGATGTACTGAAAAAAATCAGCATCCCACAAGGATGTGTCGTTGGTCTGTTTCGCGAACAAGTTTCGTTTTCCCAACCAGTCTCGTCTCACGAGTCGAACGAGTAATTTGAACGAGTGTCGTTTTAAACGAGTCACGTCCTTGAGGCATATCGACTACTCATTATATCGAGAAGATTTTTATCGAGACTTAATTCCCTGGTTTCCCAGAAACGTTGTTTGATCCAAATACTCATGCACGGTGAGTGGTCATGTCATTAAAAAAGCAGAGGGTTCCGGCGTGTTCTTCCCCAAGGGGAAGGGGATATATGTACGTGCCTTGTGCGCATGTTGCATTTCGTCTCTCAATGTATACCCACCTCAGAACTAGAGGTCTCTTTCACATTTCTCTCCGTTCTTCTTCCATAAATTTTCCTCAGTTCTTCCTTGAATCATATAAATAATATGCAAGAGTTAATACCATGCAAGAATTGGCATCGAAAGTTACCTCTAGTGCAGTCCCCGCCTTGAAATATTTTTTTTTCTTCCAAGCCTAAATCGCATCACGAGGAATAAAAAGAAACCCGTTTAATGTTTTGAGGAGATCTGTCAGAGGGGCAACGGGTCCCGCCAGCGGAAAAAAACAACACTGGTAAAAATTCTGGCAAAGCTTATCGTTCCATAGTATGTACTCTCACTTTTTTTCCATGATCTAAAGGAGCTTGGAATTCTAGTCAGATCTTCTGCTGGAATTATATCAAGGTATTATTTCTTTGCTTTTGTCATGAAAAAAAGTACTCAGATCACTCAGCGTTTCTGGGAAACCAAAGTATATGGACTCGATAAAAATCGTCTCGATATGATGACTACTCGATATGCCACAAGGACGTGTCGTTGGTCCGTTTCGCGAACAAGTTTTGTTTTCCCAACCAGTTTCGTTTTACGAGTCTAACGAGTAATTTGAACGAGTGTCGTTTTTAAACGAGTCAAGTCCTTGTGGCATATCGACTACTCATCGTATCGGGCAGATTTTTATCGAGTCTTTATTCCCTGGTTTCCCAGAAATGCTGTGTGATCCAGATACTCGTGCACGGTGAGTGGTCATGTCATTAAAAAAGCAGAGGGTTCCGGCGTGTTCTGTGAACGTCACATGTTTGCAATACTTTCATAAGATTTCTTAGCAGCAAGGTTGAAGTGGTTGCTTTATTTTTATAACAACCGAGCGGGAGCGTTGAACCTTTTGTCTCCACTGAAGAACACTAAGCGGGGTAACATACATTATTAAATATTTGCGTAACTGTTTGTAACATGTATGTATTGGGCATACCTACATATCTTTTTTTTAAATTCCTACCTGCTTATGTGATGGAGAAGGAAACAGAGAACGGGAAGATTGTTTTTTAGAGTTCCCAGCCTTTTCACCTCCTCCTGCTTCTTCATCTTTTCCTATTTCGATACACCTCTTAGGCCTTTTCCTCTGCAGTTTCGTGAAATACAAGTAACAAGTAATTAGAGCTCAACTTGATCATGACAACAAAATGTTTCAGTTTATCTGACATGTTTTGGTAAAGTTTCCAAAACACATATCGCTGGAGAAAAAATAACATTTTGATAAATTAACCACCTCACTTGCAAAGGTCCAATTAGCAAAACATCCCCCTAAAAAGTTTGAGTTCAGGAAACATATCGAGTTTTTCGGTCTTTCGTCTGTAGTAAAGGTAATAGTGATATTAACGGTTGAGCTGCACACAACTTTTTAAATTCCGTACCATGGGACCTTTGCCTAATTTTCACAGTTATACTACGATAAAATTTAAACTAATAAAACAAGTTAGAAGGAGCCTACCGATGGCCGTTCTGTCCATCGAACATCGTTTGGAATCCTATCCATGGATTTTAGTGAGGGGCTAACAATGAGTCTGTGGTTAAGACTCCTGTTAAGTTTGTTATCAAAACCTTCAGTTCGAACCAAATTTCTTTCGGAATACCGATGGTGATCATTTGGAGCGGCCATAAGGAACTTCTTTGAAAAAGTTTCATAAAAGTTTAAAGTTTCTCTTCATAACTAGGGTATCTCTTATACAAAAACATGACGTAACACTTTGTCAGATCACAGCTGGACGAAACCTCACATGCCTTATATGGCCAAATATCAACGCTATCTTTTGTTAATCTTATTTTCTATAGATTTGAATAATCTGAAAGTAATAGCTGCAAGTAACACTGAGAAAAAAAGGAGCCGATTTGTTGCAGCCTATGTCTTCTTACTGACTAAGGCCGCTGGCTTTCGTTCCCGCTTACTGGAACGGATTTTTCGTTGCTTGACTTAAGGCGCCTTCCTGAACTAAATTAGGAGCCCTTCCTCATTTACTGAGGCGGAAAATCTCTTAACATGCCTAGAACTGACGGGGGGTCAACACTTGCCTTAAACCGAATAATTCTAATTTGAAACTAGTTTTGCTTTGCTGCAAAACAGTTTAAGGTTTTTTGGCACAGTATGGCTCTCGACAAAATCAAAACCGAGGTTGTGTACCTGGAAAAACGAATTGTAAAGCCAATAATAACCTCAAATGGACGGATGGAGAGAGACGTCAGGCAAATGTGTGCAAAGATTTTAATACCGCTTACCGAAGAATTTGGGAAATATGATTTGCCTGAAGAATTACTTAAGAGACTGAGAGGATATTTTAAAGACATCTACTGGAGTTTAAAAGTGCACTTGATGTTTCACTTAGGAATTGCTGATGAGCTTCAACAGATCGACAAGCTCCTCAATGAGGTGGGTGCTTGGGGCGGCCTGACAAATGAAGAGATGAACGAACTACCCGACCAGAATCGCGTAGTCGACCCAGGAAGCAAACTCTTGGAAATGGTAAGTATATAAGCGGCATATGTGTGTGTTTTGTTTCCGAGTTTTTATGCATTGTCATTTGCACCGAGTCAGACTGTAACATGCCTTGGCTGGCTGTTTATCTAACCTCGCTGTAGCTGACACCAAAGATAATGGTTTGCACGAATGTTACGGAAAGAAAAAATCGGACGATGAGCTGAATTATAGAATTCAGTGTGAGATGCCGCTCAAGATTGTCTTTTTAATTAGAGTCAAAAGACTCGGAACTATTTTCATTGTTCTGAAGCGGAATTTCGCTGAGAATTGTGACTCTCTTCAAGTAATATATCTGTTACGTTTATTTACACCATTTAGTGGAAATCGGCTTGCAGATAGCCTGATTCGTAGACGGTCAAGTAAGAGCGACTAACCACCACTTGGACCGTCTTGAGAATCAGGTTTGTTCAGAGACGACCTTTTACGTGAAAGTTTTCGGTTTTACCTACAGTTGCAGGAAGTTAATTAAAAATTATCATGCCAGCAGAGAGAAAGGTGACAGTTTTGTTTTCCACACATAACGGTTCATTGTTTCTATTTATATTCCAGTTCAGCGATATTTTGGACTATCGCGATGATGGAGAAAGCAAAGAACATGCCGACCGTGTAATGATAGTGGCGACAGAATGGCTAGCAAAACTGAATGGTAAAAACACTTTCAAACCCTCTACTTTAGCAAGGGTGTCATACGGGCGCAAGGCTTTTGTTGGGGCCTCAATAGCCGTAAGTCACTTCTTAAGGCCTATTTGTTTGTTTCATAGAATCATTAACCTTAGACAGAGTCTCGGAGAAGCAGTAATACATTTCAAGCCTCTAGATTTACCAGATCGGCAAAACTGGTCATTTGAAGCATTTTACAAAAGCAAATATGATTATACAAGAAATCCTTGTCAAAACTGTAATACAATGTTTTTTAATGATGATTCGGGAGACGGATGTTCCACGTTTCTCGCCGCATGTGCAGAGTATTGTCCTGTTAATCAGCTCCTTCCACATGAGCCGTATTTGTGGCAAAGTGCAGAGGTTGACAAACATTTGATGGATCTATTGGAGCGAAACTTTGCTCGATGTTCAGATCTGTTTAAAAACTTTTTGGACATATCTAATAAATGCATAGCTGCCGCTCGATCAAACAACGAAGAAATCATGAAAACCGTGTACTGGGACGTGATATATAAACTGCACATTTTCGGTCTAGGCCCAGAATGTAACCCCAACTTTTAGTTTTTTTCGGTGTTCTCCGTCGTCACAAATTGACAGGATATTTAACTGCTCAACTCTAACAATAAGAAGATAAAATATCTTTGTCGATCTTTTGTATGGAACAACTTTCAGCTCTTACATATTGTGAGAATTTAGATTAGTATTCCGATTGGTTCTCTGCACTGTCTTATCCGCGTTTGCTTTAAACGACACTGAATAAAGCTGTTTTGTAAAAGGTGGATTAAAGCAAGCGATGCGTGTCTTAATTAAGTAATTGCTCTTCCTGAGAGAAGCGCTCTTTAACGCTCTAAAGTTATTAATTTACTATCAAAAGTTATCATGTGAGACCTGTATAGTTAGGTCCAAAAGACGAATGACACTAAGCTACTGCAGAAGTTCTTGTTTCAGACATTGACTGTGTAAACAAGATATTAAATAAACGTTATTACACTATATAATTCTTTTTTCTAGTCACTTTACCTCCGTGGAAGATGTGGTAGTAAGGAATCTGCGACAGTCAATACAAAATAAATAAAAAGTGAAACAAAAGTTTTAATAAAGTATGTCAATTAAACCGTTAACCAACTTTGTCGACTTGTCATATCATAAGCTCTTTAATCCAACAACGATTAGTTAACCTATCATCGACGTTCATTTTTATAGATTAATTTTAGTGTATTTTAATTGACGGGTTCTCACAGAAGTAAGAAGAGGAGTTTAAAGGTGCATCTCGAACAAATTATCCTAAATTTTTCAATTCCGTCATTTACAATCTGTGCAATCTTCGTTATCCTTAACCATCCTCATTGGTTTATTCTTACTTCTTTGGTATTTGTCTACCTTAGTGTTAGATTCAAACGCTTAGATTCAAACACGCGTGAGATGCCACCAAATCCATTCCTTGGACATAAGTTAGTCTATTCTATTTTTTAATACGCATTAGTTTGAAAGCTGAACGGCTGGCTGAACGCTTAACGGCAATGAAGACACTTAACGTTAGAGAAGTATCTGGTTATGATTCTATTCTCCCACTTGTCCTAAAAGTTGAAGCAGAGGAAATCGCTCCCTCACTTTCCAACCTGTTTAACAGAAGTTTCCCACGAGGGAAAATGGCCCCATTTATGGAAAAGGGGAGAATGAATTTCTTCCTTTAAGAGTAACGACCCCTCACTAAAGGAGAATTATAGACCAATCACCGTCCTTCCTGTTGCAGATAAAGTCTTCGAACAGATAATAGTTAATCAACTTGTGGGGATGTTCGACCATCATCTGGAACAGAATTTAACAGCCCACCATTGGCTTCCCAAACTGAGCATTTTCTTCTTGAAGTCCCAAAATCCTACCTTTCACAGCAGTGAATGGCTCAGTATATTTTTTTGCAAATAGTTATATAGCATACAACATAAACAGCTGTTTTGATGAAGGATGTTCTACAGAAGTGTAAAAGCACATGTGACTATGCTGAAAGATATTATGGATAATGGTTGTTTACCCATTACTTCACCAAAACTTGTGGTGTTTCATTCCAAAGGATTGCTAACCCATGTAGTTAATAGTTTCTCCATTCATCATGTTAAAGTAACAAGAACCTCAACCAAGTAACAAGTTGTCAACTACCTTTACACTCAACATTCCCACGAATCACACGCACTTGACGCACGTGGGGATGCCCACGGCCGATAGTATCAAAAAGGTACCCACTTTGGGGACTGAGCACCCCGAAAATCCTATCCTATCGGGAGCTACAGAACCTTGATCCTCTCTTGAAAGTGAGCGTTTAATCTGACCTGAGCGTGATTTGAAAGATTTTACACGGATTTGTGACAAATACGCAAGTATGATTAAATTCTGTTCTACTTCAAGAAGAGAATGCTCAGTTTGGGAAGCCAATGGTGTCCATAATTACTTCGCGTGGGATTTTCCTTATTTTTGATGCAAATCTTAAATTAATCTGAAAAAATTAATAAGTATTGTCTCACAGCTGTGAGTTTTGCGATAAGCCGTTAAATTATGTTCCAAGTGATGGTCGAACATCCTCTCATTTTGTTTAGTTATAATCTGTTCGAAGACTTTATCTGTAACAGGAAGGACAGTGATTGGTCTAAAATTCTCTTTTAGTAAGGGATCGTCACTCTTAAAGGCAGGAATCCATCCTCCCCTTTTCCACAATTGAAGTTATTTTTCCTCGTCAACACATCTGTTAAACAGGTTGAAAAGTGAGGGAGCGATTTCCGCTGCTCCAATTTTAGGACAAGTGGGGGATTAGGATCATGACCAGATGCTCTCCTAACGTTCAGAGTCTCCATTGCCGTTAAGCGTTCAGCCAGTCCTTCAGCTTTCAAAGTAACGCGTGTTACAAAATTGAATAGACTACCTTGTGTCCAAGGAATAGATTTGGTGGCATCTCACACGTGTTTAAATCTAAGCGTTTGAATATAACACTAAGGTAGACAAACATCAAAGAAATAAGAATGAACCAAAAAAAAATGAGGAGGTTAAGGATGGCGAAGATTGCTCAGATTGTAAATGACGGAATTGTAAAATTTACGATAAATTATGCAAGATACACAAACCATGACGTTGCACCTTTAAACTCATCTTCTGAGAGAACGCGTGGTGTCTGTGTTTTATTGATTTATCAATTAAAATACACTTCAATTTATTTATACAAATAAACATCAATAATAGGCTAACTAATCGTTGTTGGATAAAAGAGCCTATGATATGGCATGTCAATAATGCCCGACAAAGTTGGTTAACAGTTTAATTAGCATACTTTATTAAAACTTTTGTTTCACTTTTTACATATTTTGTATTGACTGTTGCAGATTCCTTACTACCACATCTGCCACGAAGGTAAAGTGATTAGAAAAAAGAATTGCACTGTGTAATGACGTATATTTTACATCTTGTTTACACAGTCAATGTCTGAAACAAGAACTTTTGCAGTAGCTTAGTGTCATTCGTCTGTCGGACCTAACTATACAGGTACCACATGATAACTTTTGATAGAATATTATTAACCTTAGTGCGTAAAAGAGCTGTAAGTAACTGATGAAAGTCTTTGGAAATTAGCAAAATGTAACAACAACAACAACAACAATTATAATTGTTTTTGGACTGATCTGCACAAGACCATAAATACGCCGAAAAGTGGCAACCACATTTAGCCGAGCTACATTAGACATCTCTTTTAACTCTCTCTCGGGAGGAGCAATTAATTAATTAAAACATGCATCGTTTGTTTTTATCTACCTTTACAAAACATCTTTATTCAGTATCATTGAAAACAAACGCGGATAAGACAGTGCAAAGAACCGACCTGGGATACTAACCTAAATTCTCACAATATGTAAGAGCTGAAATTTGTCCCATACAATACTTACTGTTAGAGTTGAGCAGTTTAATATCCTGTCAATTTGTGACGACGGAGAACACCAAAAAAAAAAGCTAAAAGTAGGGGTTACATTCTGGCGTTAAACCAAAAATGTGCAGTTTATATATCACTTCCCAGTACACGGCCTTCATGATATTTTTGTCGTTTGATCGAGCGGCAGCTATGCATTTATTAGATATGTCAAAAAAGTTTTCGAACAGATCTGAACATCGAGCATGGTTTCGCCTCAGTAGATTCATCACAAGTGGGTCATGACTTGCACTTTGCCTCAAATTCGGCTCATCTGGAAGGAGCTGATTAACAGGACGATACTTTGCACATTCGGCGAGAAACGTGGACCATCCCTTTCCCGAACGATCGTCACAAAACATCATGTTACAATTTTGACAGGGGCTTCTTATCAAATCATAGTTGGCTGTGTTCAATGATTCAAATAACCAGTTTTGCCGATCTGGAATATTTAGAGGCTGGAAATGTACTATTGCTTTTCCGAGACTCTGTTTAAGATTGATGATTCTATGAAACAAACAAATGGGCCTTAAGAAATGACTTACGGCTATTGAGGCCCCAATAAAAGATCTGCCTGTGTGTGACACCCTTGTTAAAACGGTGGGTTTGAAAGTGTTTTTGCTTGTGAGTTTACTTAGGAAGTCACTCGCCATCTTCATTACACGGTTGGTATAGTCTACGCTTCCTCTATCACCGCGATCGTCCATAATGTCACTGAACTGGAATATAAATAGAAACAAAGAACCGTTATTTCTAGGAAACAAAACTGTCACCTTTCTCTCTGCTGGCACGGTAATTTTTATTAACTTCCTGCAACTGTAGGTAAAATCGAAAACTTTCACGCTTTCTACTTCTGAGCGAAATTTTTCTTCAGGCGTTAACTTCTCGAAATTTCGTTGTAATTCTGAATTGCGATTTGCATTGATTGTATATTCCTTTTTCTTTATTTTCTTCATGTAACGGACTATTTAGATGCAGGACTTCTATGATACCAGCGTTTGAGCTGAATCGGCCACCCGGTAAAAAAATGTTTAACTTAAAGCTTGACCCCACACATCAGGTCGTCTATGAAAAAACCTGTTTCTCAAGACGGTCCAAATGTTGGTCAGTCGCTCCTACTTGACCGTCTAAGAATCAGGCTATCTGCACGCCGATTTCGCTAAAATGGTCTAAATAAACGTAACAGAGATATTACTAGAAAAGAGTCACATTTCTCAGCGAAATTCCGCTTAAGAACAATGGAAATATTTCCGAGTCTTTCGACTCTAATTAAAAAGACAATCTTGAGCGGCATCTCATACTGAATTCTATAGTTCAGCTCATATTCCGTTTTCTTCTTTCTGTAACATTCCTACAAACTATTACCTTTGGTGTCAGCTACAGCGAGGTCAGATAAACAGCCAGCCAAGGCATGTTACAGCCTTACTCGGTGCAAATGACAATGCATAAAAACTCGGAAACAAAACACACACATATGCCGCTTATATACTTACCATTTCCAAGAGTTTGCTTCCTGGGTCGACTACGCAATCTTGGTCTGGTAGTTCGTTCATCTCTTCATTTGTCAAGCCACCCCAAGCACCCACCACATTGAGGAGTTCGTCGATCTCTTGAAGCTCATCAGCAATTCCGGAGTGAAACATCAAGTGCACTTTTAAACTCCAGTAGATGTCTCTAAAATATCCTCTCAGTCTCTCAAGTAGTTCTGCAGGCAAATCACGTTCCCCAAATTCTTCGGTAAGCGGTATTAAAATCCTTCTACACATTTGCTCGACGTCACTCTCCATCCTTCTCTCTAAGGCCATAATTCGTCTTACGATTCGGTTTTTTATGTACTTAGCCTCCATTATGATACTAGAGGGATCCTCGAGAGCCGAACTGTATCAAGAAACCTTAAACTGTTTTGCAGCAAAGCAAAAGTAGTTGTTAATTAGAATCATTCGCTTTAAGGCAGGTGTTGACCCCCCGTCAGTTCTAGGTATGTTAAGAGATTTTCCGCCTCATTAAATGAAGAGGGGCTTCTAACGTAGTTCAAGAACGCGCCTTAAGTCGAAGAACGAAAAATCTGCTCCAGTGAGTGGGAACTAAAGCCGGAGGTCTTAGTCGGCAAGAAGTCATAGACTGCAGCAAAACGCCTGTTTTTTTTTTCTCAGTGTTACTTGCAGCTACTAGTGTCAGATTTTTCAAAACTATAGAAATAAGATCACACAAAAGATAGCCTTAATATAATGCCATAAAAGGTATGCGAGGTTACGTCCAGCTGTGATCTGATAAGGTGTTATGTTATGTATTTGTATATGAGATGCCCTAGTAATGAAGAGGAACTTTAGACGTTTATGAAACTTTTTCAAGCAAGTTCCTTATGGCAGCTCAAAATGATAACCATCGGTATTCCAAAAGAAATTTGGTTCGGACCGAAGGTTTTGATAAAAAGCTGAACTGGAGTGTTAATCACAGACCCATGGTTAGCCCCACACTAACATTTATGAATAGGATTCCAAACGATGTTCGACGTACAGGAAAGCCATCGGTAGGCTCCTTGTAACTTGTTTTATTAGTTTAGATTTTATCGTAGCTTACCGGTGAAAATTATGCAAAGGTCTCATATCAATATTACCTTCACTATAGACGAAAGACCGGAAAATTCAATATGTTTCCTGAACTCAGAATTTTTTAGGCGAGTGAGGTAGTTAATTCATCAAAATGTTGTTTTTTCTCCGGCGATATGTGTTTTGGAAACGCTACCAAAACATGATGTCAGATAAACTGAAACATTTCGTTGTCATGATCAAGTCGAGCTCTAATCACTTTTTACTTGTATTTCACGAAATTGCAGAGGAAAAAGCCTAAGAGGCATATCGAAAGAGAAAAAGGTGAAGAAACAGGAGGAGGTGACAAGGCTTGGAACTCTGAAAAACAATCTTCCCGTTCGCTGTTGCAATTCCCATCACATAGGCAGGTAGGAATTAAAAAAAAAACATTTTTAGGTATGCCCAACACGTACATGTTACAAATAGTTACGCAAATATTTAATAATGTATGTTACCTCCGTAGTGTTCTTCAGTGAAGACAAAAGGTTCAAGGCTTCCGCTCGGTTGCAATTAAAATAAACCAACTACTTCAGCCTTACTTCTAATAAATCTTATGAAAGTATTGCAAACATGTCAAGTTCACAGAACACGCCGGAACTCTCAGCTTTTTTAATAACATAACCACCTACCATGCACGAGTATTTGGATCACACGGCGTTTCTGGGAAACCAGGGTATAAAGACTTGATAAAAATCTTCTCGATTTGATGAGTACTCGATATGCAACAAGGACATGACTAGTAGTAAACGACACTCATTCAAATTACTCGTTGGACTCGTGAAACGAGACTGGTTGGGAAAACGATATTTGTTCGTGAAACGGACCGACGACACGTCCTAATGGCATATCGAGCAGTCATCATATCGAGACGATTTCTATCGAGTCTATATACTCTGGTTTCACCGAAATGCTGAGTGATCTGAGTATTTTTTCATGACAAAAGCAAAGGAATAATACATCAATATGATTCCAGCAGAAGATCTGACTAGAATGTCAAGCTCCTTTAGATCGTGCATGGAAAAATAAAGTGAGAGTACATACTAGGGCGGGGTAATGTAATGATAAGCTTTGCCAGCATTTTTACCAACGTTGTTTTTTTTCCGATGGCGGGACCTGTTGCCCCTCTGACAAATTTCTTTGTGTAGCAAGATCTCCTCAAAACATTAAATAGGCTTCTTTTTAGTCCTCCTATTGCAATTTAGGCCTGGAAGAAAAAAAATATTACAAAACGAGGAATGCACTGGAGGTAACTTTCAGTGCCAATTTATGCATGGTATTAACTCTTGCATATTACTTATATGATTCTAGGAAGAACTGAGGAAAATTTATGGAAAAAGAACAGAGAGAAATGTGAACGTGACCTTTGGTTCTGAGGTGGGTATATATTGAGAGATGAAATGCAACATGCGCACAAGGCATGTGCATATATCCCCATCCCTATGGGGACGGATGTTTTCAGTCTAACAAAGAAATGCCAGCTTTGGAAGGAAGCCGATTTTATTCAGCACAGGTACATCGCTGGCAATATCCGCCGGGTAACTCAGTTTTTCAACCCCGTAATCTAATGAACTGATAAACAGTCATGTAGAAATGTAGGTGTGTCAAGGAGTTTTTTTTTTCAAAAAGGTGTTTGGTTTTTGGCAATGCGACTATAAGGAAATGTCTATTTCTTTTATAATAACTGGTCTAAAAGAAGCAGTCTATTCTAATTTACAACTACCAAAAGTAGTTGTAAATTAGAATTATTCGCTTTAAGGCAGGTGTTGACCCCCCGTCAGTTCTAGGCATGTTAGGAGATTTTCCGCCTCAATAAATGAAGAAGGGCTCCTAACTTAGTTCAGGAACGCGCCTTAAAAATCTACTCCAGTGAGTAGGAACGAAAGCCGGAGGCCTTAGTCCGTAAGAAGTCATAGACTGCAACAAAACGCCTGTTTTTTTCTCAGTGTTACTTGCAGCCATTACTCTCAGATTATTCAAAACTATAGAAGATAAGATCACAAAAAAGATAGCCTTTATATTATGCCATAAAAGGTATGTAAGGTTTCGTCCAGCTGTGATCTAATAAGGTGTTATGTTATGTTTTTGTATAAGAGATGCCCTTGTTATGAAGAGGAACTTTAGACGTTTATGAAACTTTTTCAAGCAAGTTCCTTATGGCAGCTCAAAATGATAACCATCGGTATTCCAAAAGAAATTTGGTACGGACTGAAAGTTTTGATAAAAACCTTAACAGGGGTGTTAATCACAGACACATAGTTAGCTCCACACTAACATTCAGGGATAGAATTCCAAACGATGTTCGATGTACAGGAAAGCCATCGTTGGCTCCTTCTAACTTGTTTTATGAGTTTAAATTTTATCGTAGTATACCGGTAAAAATTATGCAAAGGTCTTATGGTACTTTAAGACTTTAAGAAGTTGTGTGTAGCACAACCATAAATATCACTATTACCTTAACTGTTGACGAAGGACCGAAAAACTCAATATGTTTCCTGAACTCAAAATCTTTTAGGGGGATGTTTCGCCAATCGGACCTCTGCAAGTGAGGTGGTTAATTCATCAAAATGTTGTTTTTTCTCCGGCGATGTGTGTTTTGGAAACGTTACCAGAACATGATATCAGATAAACTGAAACATTTCGTTGTCATGATCAAGTTGAGCTCTAATTATTTTTTTACTTGTATTTCACGAAATTGCAGAGGAAGAGACTCAAGGGGCATATCGAAAGAGAAAAAGATGAAGAAACAGGAGGAGGTGACAAGGCTTGGAACTCTGAAAAACAATCTTCCCGCTCACAAATGCAATTCCCATCACATAGGCAGGTAGGAATTAAAAAAAAACATATGTAGGTATGCCCGACACATACATGTCCCAAACAGTTACGCAAATATTTAATAATGTTGTTACCCCGCTTAGTATTCTTCAGTGGAGACACAAGGTTCAAGGCTTCCGCTCGGTTGTAATAAAAATAAAGCAACCACTTCAGCCTTACTGCCAATAAAAACACGCCACAACTCTCTGATTTTTTAATGACATGACCACTCACTGTGCACGAGTATTTGGATCACACAGTGTTTCTGAGAAACCAGGGAATAAAGACTTGATAAAAAATCTTCTCGATATGATGAGTACTCGATATGCCACAAGGACGTGACTCGTTTAAGCCACACTCGTTCAAATTACTCGTTGGGAAAACGATACATGTTCGTGAAACGGACCGACGACACGTCCTAGTGGCATATCGAGTAGTCATCATATCGAGACGATTTCTACCGAGTCTATTTACTCTGGTTTCCCAGAAACGCTGAATGATCCGAGTATTTTTTCATGACAAAAGCAAAGGAATAATACATCAATATGATTCCAACAGAAGATCTGACTAGAATGTCAAGCTCCTTTAGATCGTGGGAAAAAAAAGTGAGAGTACATACTTGGGCGGGGTAATGCAACGATAAGCTTTGCCAGCATTTTTACCAGCGTTGTTTTTTTTCCACTGGCGGGACCCGTTGCCCCTCTGACAGATTTCTTTCTGTAGCAAGATCTCCTCAAAACATTAAACAGGTTCCTTTTTATTCCTCTTGTGGCAACTTAGGCCTGGAAGAAAAAAAAAATATCACAAAACGAGGACTGCACAATAGGTAACTTTCAGTGCCAATTTATGCATGGTATTAACTCTTGCATATCACTTATATGATTCTAGGAAGAACTGAGGAAAATTTATGGAAAAAGAACAAAGAGGAATGTGAACGTGACCTTTGGTTCTGAGGTGGGTATATATTGAGAGATGAAATACAACATGCGTACAAGGCAAAAACATATGAACGCTGTCGGCTGTAAGCCTACCGAAATTTCTCCGCTCTTAGTGCCCAGGATGAAGTTACTCCATTTGACTCTATTATTTGGCTTCGACATTTTGGCTCAGCTTCGGTATAAGAACCTGTTACGTTCACGAGTGACGTAACGAAGTCAAAACAGTAGAGACTAGGAAAATAATAGTGACAAAACAAAGAGAAACTTCACAGGTTCTTACACCAAAGTTAACCCGACATTTTTTGTATGTTCAGCAGGATTCAGAGTCCAGTGAAGAAGAGGAAGGAATCAGCGAGGAGGAGTTCAAGAGGACAGAAGGATGGAAGCTGTTCAAGGAGGCCTTGGATGCACACACTAATTGCAATAACTCAGCCAAAAAGTAGTTTACTTCTCGTATGTTCCTTTTTAAGCTTTATTCACGTTTGTAGCCGAGATAGACAAAGTTTATATGGTTGCACATTTTCAAAAGCAAATTTTTATCAAACTGCAATTTGTATCATAAACTTCTTTTTTATTTAAATAATTATGACTTTGTAAACCTTTTATAGGATTTCCTTTTTTAACCTACCAGCGTTTTTGTAAGTATTTTGGATGAATACATGACTGTACTATTCAAACATTGTGACAATGTACATTTGCACAGTGGAACCCCGTCAATACGGCCACTAACGGGCCATGGAAATTTAGCAAATTTAAAATTAAGCAGAATTTAAATTTAAAGTAAATTTAAACTTAACTTAACTTGTATGGGCGCCCGTTTCGTCGAGACAAAAAAGTGGCTGTATTAACGAGGTGGCCGTAAGGCGGGGTTCCACTGTATTTCATACGTTTCATTACACTGATAATGGCCATTTAAGTTGTTATACCCATAATTTTGAAGAACTGTTGGGGGAAAGGGGTTGTGACTGAAATAGATATTCTAAAATCAAGAATCCACTGGGGGCCGGGAACCAAAAAATAAAACTACGTGGAAACCATGCACATTTTACAGTTTTTATAAGCCTTGTTTACAATCTTTTCTTGCCCATGTAGACTTATTAAGCTTGGTTACTGAATAAAAAAACTGATGTTAATTAATACATACACCCCGATTTCCACATACACTGGCAAATAAAAGATAGCTGATATGAAATCGTCTAGTATTATTATTATTGATTCATTTTTAACGTAACTTTCTAAAAGGGATTTAATTTGTAGGGTGTGTTTAAAAATAGGAGCACGGCTTTTTAGGGGGCTCTTAAAAATGTAGCAATTCAAAAAAAGATCTCTCTTCCCTCCCATTTCCTCCTAGCACCCCCCTGACTTTATTCCTTTTCCACCTATTCTCTATCATGTTACTATAATCCTAACCCCTATTCATCAGCTATTAAAAGTGTTCCTGTGGACGAAAACACAAGTGGATTTTACACATCACAGATCTCTACAGCAAATTCTCCTGGCTGAGTGCTCTTGTTCACGAAAACACAAGTGGATTTTACACATCACAGATCTCTACAGCAAATTCTCCTGGCTGTGAATATCGCCATCAACCATGATGCAGACCTCTCAAGAGACAAGGATATTTCACTGAGTTTTGATTTAATTATTTCAAACTAATTTGTTTGTTTTTGCTTTCAGAAGCCCATCGTTCCCGTGATTGATGGCAGACCACCTTGAAACAAAACTGAATAGACTTCACACGTCACTGAACGTTGCTGAAAGAAATAAAATAATTGTCTTGGGTTGTAAATATGGGTATTCCTATCTTGAAGTATGCTGAAGTTGTCTGACAGTCTTGCCCAGTTTATCAATTTGCTATCACTAATACTCATAATCATGCAATCACTGAAACCTTGTCCTTAATGTTGAATTTTTTTCTTTTCTCAAATAATACTTTATCTTACCTCTCGTAAAACGTTCAGCCTGATGAAAATAGACTCTTGAGCCACAGGTGCAGGGAGCTCATCAAACTACGTTAAAAACGTCAAACAACATAATGCATGTATCTGTTTTGATCATTTACAACCTAACATCAGTATGCATATTCTACAAACTGTTTTCTATACACTAAGGTTCTGACGGAGAATTTGTTTAACAGTCGAGGACTTCTTCATGGTGGTCATTTCCTTTATTTTCATGACCTTAATGTATGATTTTGTGGGGGGAGGGGAGGGGCGGCATTGTAAGAAGAAATTAGACGCTAGTCCCTTTCAGGGGTCAAAGGGCTAAAAGGTGCAGGAAGCAATTACTATAATAGTGCTTTATATATATATATATATATATATATATGTACATATATATACATATATATATATGCGTATGAGTATATATACACACATATTTACATACATGTATGTGTGTATATATGTATACGTGTATATGTGTGTGTATATATATCTATATATATATCTATATACATCTATCTATATATATACACATACATATACATATATAAATATGTATGTTCTTACAATGTGTCCTGCTTAGCCCTTTAACACCCAAATCTCATTAGTAATTCTCCTTACTGTCTGCCATACAATTCATATGATGTTAGTTCAGAGAAATTGGAATTGGATCAACCATTAATCCCCTAATTGATATTTTTCTTTATTCTCATTCTGTCTAGGTCACTTGTGGGACTAAAAGGATTAAGTTGACACATATTTTACTCACCTCCCCTTGTTTTTCTTTTGGAAGACCCATACATTCATCCATAACATGGCCTATGACCACAGAAAATGGGGTTAAAATAAAAACAAGACAATTCTCATTGGAAAAGTGCTTCAGGTTGACTGAGGTGAAAATTATGGGATTTTTAAGGGGATGTCTCTGATCAGTGATCAGTGAATTTGCAATAGTGTTGTCTATAAGGGTCAAGGATTAAAAAATCACACTAAGGTAAAAACAGCAGGACTTTAGAGAAACTCTTACCAATTTGACCACACATCTCACAAGGTCTCTTCTGGTTTGGTTTAAACTCTTCCCTGATGATTGTGAAGTGAAGTTCATGAGTTGCAAGTCCTGTACAAAAGAAGTGGAAAGACACAAATTTAACCATCTTACTCCTAGGCGTGATTAACAACCAATTTCTCCTTACAATATCACCCCTGAATCAATCATTCAGGTCATGAGAATAAAGGAAAAGATCACCAGCCAAAGAAGCTCTTGGGTGATAATTTTAAATTCTCTTTGTCAGCACCTTAGGAAATGTATAGAGAACAGTATGGAGAATATGCATACTGATGTTAAGGTGTAAAGGATTCACAGAAGGAACTGGACATGAGCAAAAAAAAGAGAAAGATTGTTTATTTGGTATCAATTTAATAAAATGACAATTACGACTTGCATTTTACATGAACATACCATCAGCGCCATTCAAACAGTGCTTTGTGTTTGGGTCATGATGTGGACTTGCTGAAACAAACAAAAAAAGAGAAGCAACTGCAATTTTCATACCACTATGGTGAAGTTAGAGGTTTATTAAATGTCCTTATATTACAAGGACTAATTAAGATAAAAAAAGGAAGAAAAGGAAGTTCTCCCTAAAATATCCAAACATCTCAGCTGGGTCAAAGAAACAGAAAAAGTTACAAATGAATATTGTCCAGGAATCATTTTATTTTCAAAGCCAATTTGCGAGCAATTTGTAGGGTACATAATGATCCATGGTAGACACGGACAGAAAAGTCTGCACCACCCAGTGTTTGGCCACTTGACCTTTTAACTCCCAAGATCTGTTTACCAATTCTCCCTTCTGACTGCAACACATTTTGTTGTAAATTAGTTATGAGAAATCAGTGTTAGATCAAGATAACAATGTCTATCTGGTAGATTTGAATTTGAGTTTTCTCATTACCTGTTTGCTAAATAATGTATTGACTTTATTGGGAGAAGTTACATGTTAATCATTTCTGGAGGTTAAAGGGTTAAGATGTGAGCATGGATATAAAGACAGAAATGAAGAATGGCAGTCAGATGATGAAATGCTTTAGGTCAGGGCAGACATGAAAATATCTTATTCATGGTCATGATGTGCAGACCCCTGTCCCTCAATTTGTACATTATGGCCTAGAGCCAAATATTATCCTGTATAGCTCTCCAACAGCAAGTTGACTGGCTACCCTCCAATTCATTCTATAGGTACATATGATCTTGGGAGTGAGAGGTAAATCTCACCTCTTTGCTGTCTGATGTAGTCCATAATCTTGTGCTTACCCTCTCCAGGAACATTAGCATCTGATAATATCACCTTAAAAAATTTATGCATACTGTACATAAAATAATTCAAGATAATTCACACCTTAAATCCAAAAGAAACAACACTATATCTTCATGAGCTTTATTAGACACACACCTGCATAATAACTAAAGGGATACCTGCGGTCATACCAGACATGTGTGAACATCATTAAAGTTTAACCCTTAAACCCCCTAAAAGTGAGTGGGATCTAGTTTCTCCTGACAATTATACTGCTAAATCAATCATTAAGGTCATGATAATAAAGGCAATGATTATCAACCAGAGAAGCTCTTGAGAGGTACACTGTATTTCTCCTTGTCAGCACCAAGGGAAATGTATAGAGACTGGTATGGAGAATATGCATAGTGATGTTAGGCTATAGAAGATCAAGGCTAAAGCTGCCTATAAGATTGTTTAACATAGTTAGCCCTCAGAGAGTTGTTGCTCCCCTTGAATGGTAAAGGATTCCTTTGCAGGTCACCCCAGCATTGTGTCAATTTTCCTTGACAGTTCTCTGGTACCCTTTTTACTGTAATACACTCCTGAAATCTCAATGATCATTCCACGCACTTCTGCCATGCAGTTTAAATTATTTTCAAACTTGTGTTCAAGCAAACAATAACCTTGCTTTGATACTTTCCTTTCGTTCTTACTCATCACCTGACTATTTAAAAATGCATTGATATCATTTACAAAAAATTCCTAAGTCACTGAAAGTCATCAGAAGAGAACAAAACTATTAAAACTTACATTAAGGTGCAATGTACTTACTTTTATATTCCTCCATCCAGGATCATTGTTTAATCTGTCAGCAATGTAGTATCTTAAACATATGGACAAATTGGCCATGAACTCTGTCCCCTGTAATAAAGAAAAATTCACACTCAGAGGAGTTTTTGAATCCAATACACATTTGAAATACATGACATACAACCAGTTATAAACGATTGCCAATCTTCACTCAGGAACATAAACTATACACAGCTAGTGAGCAAGTCCACCATCTCTGTTGTTCACTAGAATCATGAAAGAATCAAGAGCATGACAGAGACAATTTACTCATTTATGTCCAAGCATCAGTCTTTTCAGATCATAGAGTGAGGCACACCACTGTAAACCTCCTACTTTGGAATGATTTAACCCTTTCTTTCCCAGGATCTCATTAGTAATTCTCATTACTGTCTGCCATACAATTCTTATGATGTTAGTTTGGAGAATTTGGTATTGGATCAACTAATAATCCCTAATTGATATTTTTCTTCATTCTCATTGCTTGTCTGCTTGGTATTGTATTAGTGTTGTTGGGAGAAATTCTGTATTGGTCACTCATAGGAGTTAAAGAGTTAAATCTTTTTGTTCACAATCTTAGTGATTTCATGCACAGGTAAAAGGCATGATTTACAGATGTCATCCTTGTAACATACAAAATATACCAATAACATCTGTAAACCCTTTAACTCCCAAGATCTCATTGTTAATTCTCCTTGCTGTCTGCCATACAGTTCTTGTGATGTTAGTTTGAAGAATTTGGTATTGGATCAACTTATAACCTCTAATTGATATTTTTCTTTATTCTCATCACTTGTCTGCTTGATATTGTAAGGAGAAATTCTGTCTTGGTCACTCACAGGAGTTGAAGGGTTAAGAATCATTAATCACAGCATGCAAACAATCACACCAACCTCATTGCCTGAAGAGGACTGGCAGTATGCGGAGAAATTCAATCCACACAGGTAAATGACTTCACAATGAACAACCAGAACCAGTTTTACACAATTACACTTACTGGTGTAATACAGTTACTGTCAAAGTGTTCAGTTTTTCCTTTTTCTGGTGGTAAAAGAGCTCCTACAGAAGAAAGTAACAAAATGTGTAAGTGTACAATTCCAAACTGCATGAAACTTGGCCTGTCTGAACATCTGGGAGGGGTAACTTTTCCATTTGGACTATAAAAAACATGACCTTACTTGTCTGGTCAAACAACCATGGGCAATGTTTATTTTTTCACCCAACTTTGGATATGATACATCATTTCCAATTTTGAAAAGTTTGTTGCCCATAAAAATAAGTAGCACTTACAGAAAGTAATATACATTTAAGTATCATTTTGAATATCTTTTTCAATTGATTCACTTCGAATTCTTGCCATTTCCTCTGCTTTTTCCCTAAAAAAGCTTAAAATTCAGCATTTTCTGCCATTATGTTTTCATCTGTGGTGTGTAAACATTTGCACTAATTGGGTTACTGTTTCATTACTACCTTGGTTTCTTTAGATGCTCTGAAACGATGAGATCTTTGCTGCTTCATTTTTGCCCTTGGAGCCTGCAATAGAAATAAACAAATTAAAGACAAACATGCACAAATATTATCATAAATAAGCCAAAATAGAAAAATAAATATATATTTTATAATAGATTAATAAATATACTTGCAAAATGCTGCTTACCACTCCATCAATGGCCATGTAAAGCAACTTTCTGGGTCTAACTATAGAGAAGATTTTGTAAAAAAAAATAGAAATTGACTGTAGTGGGTAATGAATGTTAAACATAGTTAAATGGAATATGTCATAGATAACAACTAGGAGCAAATATGGTCAGTAGCATTTTGAGGTGTTTGATAAATGTCTTGGCTGGCTGTTGGCATTCATGCAGCATTTGTTGCATTCTGTTTGGAGCAGTACTGTGGTCATTGGGACCTTGAGGCCGTCCTTATCAAGTGGTAGACCTTACCAGTGCATGTGTTGTTCTACCATGTGTTTGCATTGTAATCACTCTTCAATGGTGTGGTGTTGTTTTCCTTGCAGATTGCGGATCTTGGCATTTTGTCCCCCCCCCCCCAACCCTAATTGCAGTGTTTATTTCTATTTATTTGTTTTTTTTATTTATTGATTCACTTCTTTATTCATGTTTTCCTCTACTCAGCCATCTGGCTCTTGTGTGACAGTGCTCATTGGGCGCTTGGTGTAGGATGTTTCAGGCTGGATTGCAGGCTGAGCAGGCCAATCTGGTGTTCAAGCACCTCAGGGTGCAACTGTGGTTTCAGCCCCCAGGTCTCCCAGGCACGTAGCCTCCATTTGCGACGTCAGCTTTCTCACTTTGAGAAAGTGCTTTCACTATCTTAAGAGGACTGTTTGCAAGTCCGTGAGATGAGAAATCTCGATTTTAAGGTGTTTCTTTGACGAACAGTTTGCACTGATCTCAACGTAAACGGCCTTGCTTCATTGGTCATAGTGAATGAATGCTTTCTTTAATTGATTATCATCGCAACAGGGCAGAAAGACCGCAAAATACCGGCTTAAAAATAAATCTCAAACACGTGTAGTTAGATCAACAACAAGCCAGGCTATCAATCCTTCAACCAACTCACCTTTTCTTCCACACAGTGGACTACGATCGACGGGTACTTCTTTGATAGCCAGCGAAAAAATGCTGGAACTCCCATCCCCGCGTATCGAGTTCAGCAAATTGGAGTTAACTCAACGCTGAAAAGTGAAAAAGCCTCTGTAGAAAGCTCATAGGCTTACTTGAGAAGATAGGAAGGTTTTCTCAGCTGAGAAACTACCAGGCGATATACCGCTGACTGATTTTCCTCGCAATGATAAAGCATAGGCAAGCAATGCGTGCATACATCTTCAAACCACACTGAGGAAAAAGTTCGAGTTCGTTGCTGGACAGAAAAAAAATGCTTATTAAAGAGATAAGAATTCTCGAATTCATAACTTTTTCCCGACAAGATACACTTCGATAGTTAATTTTTCAAACAGTGAAGGATGAAACAGAAACTTGCTGTTACGAAGAAAAAGAAAAAACCAATAATTTTTATGTCAGCCCCAAATATTGAGACATTAATCTAACGTTCAACCAGTATCCCTTTTTTGGCTCACTTTTACACCTCTGAACGTTTCCAGGACAGAGGAAATTTTTCACCCACTGTGCTTGCCTTCAAAATTCATATCTTTAGCCAGGACGCAAATATGGAAAACATGCCTCATCTATCATCAATTCCCTCACCACCCTCCCAAAAAAGATACATTGACCCACCATTAGACTGCGCTTATTAAGGGAGTGGCCACTCCCTTATAAGCACAGTTTAATATTCCTGTTTGCTTTGTTATGTTTCACTGTATGGATCACCCTTTCTTTCTAAACGGAGGAAAAAGGAGAGCCTGGGAACGTAGTTGGCGACAAGGAAGTTTTAAGGCCTATTTACACGGTTTTGTCGTCCCAACCACGACACCAACTGTATCGCAAATCTACCACTCGAGGCAAAATATTCCTGTTTACTTTATTATGTTTCACTGTATGAATCACCCTTTCATGCTAAACGGAGGGAAAAGGAGAGCCTGGGAACGTAGTTGGCGACAAAAAAGTTTTAGGAAGGGTGCAAAGAAACGGCGCCAATCTTTTCCCTCAGCAAGCCAATCAGAGTACACAAATATGATGACGTATTTAGGGGCGCCAAACCCGCGACAACACACGAGTCAAGTTTCATGGAAGCGTGTTTGAATACAGCTGGGCAACTCTGCATCATAAAATGAGTGGATATGAATCTCTAGCAGAGAATGCAGACGAAATGGTGGTAGGGCAAATTTTTGCCTTTTCACCTTTTACTTAGCTCTGAGTCCTTCAAGGGCAGAAAGCACCGTCGTGACCAGGTAAAACTTTTGAAAAACACATAGCTTCTGTATCGATCTTCGTTATAGTTCGTCTTTGGTATACCTTGGCTACGAAAAGATCACTCTTTTGCCATAGCAAACATTGCATTTACTTAAGCTAGAGCTTGAATATGGCCCGTTCAATCTGGTGGTGAGGAAGTTAATGAACCTTTTATTCGCCTTTGTCACCCACTCTTTAAAAGGGACGCAAATTACCGTGGTTTTTCTAATAACCTCAGTCCCAATTCAACCATAATTCGTCATCGGATTAGGGACCTGTTACGTTCACAGCAAATAAAGATGTCAAAGCAAGGAAACAGTAGTGACAAAAAACGGGAAAGTTCGTCAGGTTCTTATTCAGGGGTCATTCCAAACTTTTTTGACAGCTTTGAAGCTTCTCGTTTGTTATTACTCCTTGACTTTGACACTCTATTTGACAGATAATCAAGACAAAGCAAAATTCTCAGGAATGATTGGTTATCACCGGTCCGATATGGCATGTGGCAGTTTGTGGCCTTTCCCTTCATCTAGGCAGTTCAGAAAGCCACAAAACTCTAGAACAAAAATTTATCTTCCAAATCAGCACTCTTAATTCCCAGGGTATCAACAAGTGCTTTTCATTCAACTAATTTATTCGTGTATTCTCATCACAATATTCCCACCAATAGCATATCTCCATTTTTGGCATATAAACTCACACACAACCCACAATTCCTCCAATCACTCTGACAAAGGGCTAATGCTTGAAACATAGCCTTTAAACTCTTTACAGTGGCCAATTTATGTTGATAACACTAACTTGATAACTTAGTTGATAACTCCAAGTTACCCTGATGTGAGCACTAATAGGACTGTGTAGGCATCATGCTTGTAATTGGACAGTGTAATAGGACAGTTAAAGGAACAGTTAGCATGTCATGGCAGTGTAAGTGGACAGAATGTGTCATGTGCACATGCTGTTGCCTTGCATTTTGCAACAGTAACTTGGTTTTTTTTATGAAAACAGTTTTATGAAATAGTTTTGATTAATTGGTAACAGGACTTTGTGTTGTCCAATTCTATCTGTAATCTTACTTTTGATTAACAAATGGGGCTCCCCCTTTGCGACTGTCCCATTTTTGTACTCTTATGATTACAGAAGGAATTGAAATCCACCCATTCATATTAGTATCACTTTTTGATTCCTGTGAAACTTCCTTCTTTATGCACACCATCCATATACCCAGTCAATGAACCACTCTTTTATGGATGATTTTCCAATGCTTTGGTGCAAAGTTTATTTTTTGTTTTTCTCTCTTGCAAATATACACTGATGAAACATGGATTTACCACTGTATTTGTATTATCTGTTTCTAAATTCTTGATGTTTTATCTGTAAATGTTCCAGTAGTGCATAACTGCTCCGTGCTACTTGATACACAAACAAAGATACATGACTTCATCAAAATCTAGAAAAAAGAGTCATTTGCCTTTGGCTGAATAATGTGTAGTGGCCACTTTATCTGGTCTTTTCATACCAGTTTGCTTAAGTTGGTACTGTTTTGTTGTTTGTTAGATCTACACACCCAAGTCTTTCTATCTGTCATACTGATTAGAAGCTGTCACTTTAATCTAAAACAAGTTCTTTCATTGAAATGTTTACCTTTTGAAACTTTCTACTGACTTTTGCTAAATAAACAGTATAAATGTTTAGAAATATTAACCTTGAAGACAAAAAAAAACTTACTTTGTACAGCCTTGAAGAGCTTGAGTAAAATTATGATATAATGATACCAGATGAAGAAAACTCATCTTTCTTTGGAACACTTGTCAAGTAAAGGAAAATGTTAATTTGATAATTATATATAAATTTTAAAAAAACTGCAAGTCTGACTCTGATTGTATAATGTTATTTATCAATTCCTGTGAGTAAGTTATCATGATAATCATTTTGTGTCTAATGTGTTAATTTCACGTGGATGAAGTTGTATTTATACATTGCACATACTTACAGCTGCAAAATACATTAATTCTGTGTCTTCATTTAGAGGAGTGATAGCATTAGAGAAGAAATTCACTGTCTGCTAAGATATGTGAGTTGCTCCATTAGTGGACAGCTGTTTGAGACTAAGCTTCCTATGTTTCCAAGGCTGTGGCTAATGCACAAAGGGGGCAACTCCTTCCCCCTACAAACACTTTTTAATAACATATTTTTGTCCTTCCCTTTAAACTATTTTTAATTCATCTGCTACCCTGTATCCCATGTATTGAAGAATGGAAATATTGAAAAAAATGTTTTTGTCACACTTGTTTTTTTATACACCGATTTACAAAGTATATCTAGTATACCTAAAGTATACCTAAATCAAGCTCTGGTGGTGTTTTGCTCTTAATTTCTGGCTAAACAGGGATCCATCAAATTAAGTATATTTGTGAATCTACCTCAATTGAAATCTGCTTTTTTTTTTTTCTTTTACCAACAGTGTGTCAAATCCAATTACGGTATGTCAACAAATAGAGTGTCAATTTGATAATACTTCACCCAAATTGCCAGCAATTTGTCTCTTGGCTGTTCATTACCATGTTATTTACTTTTAGTAACTAAATAATTTCTGGTTGTAATCTTTAAACCTTAAGCTAGTTGATCATTACATGAAACAATTTATTTATTCAAATTTTTTTACACCTAGTAGACTCACCAAGATGGTGGTACAATTTTAAGATATTTTGCTCAAGTTCTGTAATGGCAGAGTTGAATTTTTGATTTGGACTTGTAGCAATGTGCTAAACATTTATTTTGTGTAAGAAAAAAATAACAAGCAGAGGACAATCAGTACTCAAAAAGTATGTACCAATATTCTCAAGTGGCTAATTTTTCAACCACATTGATGGGACATTGGTGGTAATGCATTACAAAATTTGCAGTACTGGTCGGATCTTGAATTTCCAATCGAAAGTTAACATTCCATTACAACCTGTACAACTTCAGTCTATTTTAACTTTTGTGAGAGCATTTACAATCCAGGGAAATGTGTTTCATACAATGTAGATTTTTTTTTTAGCAATGCTGCTTTCACAGGTGGCATGACCACAAGCATGAGAATCAAGTTATGCGTAGCACTTAATATTTATTGTTTCTCAGAAATTCTTTGATTGGAAGTTTTAGTTGGAATGTTTTGTAAACAAAAAAATGAACAAGCAAAAAATAAAAAGACAACACGATCCTTTGTAATCACCATCACTTCCATTGTAATCATCATCATCACCATCACATATATGTTAGTCAGACATGCTGAACTTACTGGTTGATAGACATGTAGATGGCTATAACTGAAATTCAGCACTTTGTTACTTCTTATCTTGTGTGCAAACTTTCCACTGAGAATGAATAGAGCATCTAGCATTTCTTTGCACACCAAACTGGTTTCATTTAGAGTTGCCTTTTACTTTGCAAGTTCTAAAAACCCTCAGTGGCAATCTTGTGACAGAGGAGTCAGAAGAGTACAGAGGTGCAGTTGTTTTGTTTAGAACTCAAGAAAATGGTGAAGCTTTTAACTTTGTTAATACACACAGCTATGCAGAACTGCCCCCAATCTCTTAATGAAGAATTCATGTGCAAATGATGTTAAGTTGGGTTGCATGGTTTGATTTTTTTTTTTATGGATCCAAGTTACCCAGCCTTTATGAATTACTTTTTAACACCATTTTCCTGGAAATTTTGGTATATATCATCTTCATCTTCTCTAAGTTTTGTGGCATCCCAGATTATTAGGCTGCCATCATGACAGCCACTGTATAGCCTTCCCTTAGTAGCCTGAAAAGTAACATAAAGGACAGCATTATACATGAAAGGACACAGCAATATTATCTCCTTTTTAGTGATTAGTCAAAATCAATTTATTGTGAATTAATTTGAATATTTTTTTTTTATAATCTTCAAGATTAAGGTCATTTTCTTTTGCAGAGTATCATCTCAGTTTGGAACAAGCATATGTTTGCATAAGGAAAAGGACAGTTGGATGAAATGGAGCAAAATGATGCCACCAGGTACCCAGTGTTCTCAGTACATAATGATGATTTAATAATTGGGCAATCTTGGCTAGAACACCTTAACACTTCAGAGTCTATGCCTCCATAATGTTAAACATGTTTGAAATTCTCAAGTAGTTTTTTTTTAATAATTATGTTGACCTGTACTTGAGATAACAAGCAGAGAACTCAGAGTATCTGTGAAATACAATTTATGGAATTTATGGGTTGGATTCCCATGGAAGCCTGAATATTTCCAGGCTTCTTTTCTGCAATGATGTCATTGAGATTAATTCTTTATTCTTCATTGAGGATTATCTTAGAATTAGGATACAATAACACTTAAAATGACTCACCACAAAACAGTTAACTGGTCCTGCTTCTATACCTGCATTGAATGTTCTTTTACACATGCCAGATTTGGACTCGTATACTTTGAGGGTCTTGTCTCCACTGCAGGTAATTACTGGGGAGAGATTGGACAATACAGGTTTATCAGTAATCTTAAGTTGTCTTACCCTTCCCTAGGCCATTATGTCTTTCCCCCCTCCCCCCCCCCCCAATTCCACTCAGTAGAAGTCAAGTGAACGAGTGGAAATTTTTTCATTTAATTGTGTAGGTCATGCATATCTTACAATTCACAAGGATTACCCAATATTTGTGCCAAACATCAAAAAGGAATGCTCAACCAATATATAATTACATAATTTTTTTTGTTGTTTTCTGTTGTATTCCTCCTTGCTCAGTTTGTTAAGCACTTGTGTGAGAACCAATTGGATATCACTGGCTTGACATGTCAGTTGTTTAAGTGCTGCACCTATTGCATGGCTTTTATTGGTTCAATTTCTATTATTGGTGGTATGCAAAGCTTAAACACACTCCTTCTTCTATAAGAATTTAATATTTTATAAGGAAAAGTATGATTTTTGCACATTTCCCTTAACAAAGCCAAAATAGTATCATTTAAACTAAGTTATTTTGATTGATTTTAATCAATTATTCATAAAAGCATAGACTACCTCTCAGTTATGAACTCAGCAAATGCCATACTAAGCACATGAAAATAACTTGCATATTAACTTACGTAGGCCATCGGAGAATTGTAGATTCTTTATTGTATGTTTGTGTCCCTTGTACGTCCGCGTACAGTCACCAAATTCAATCACCCAGCATTTTGCCGTTTGATCTGCACTACAGGAGTACATCAGCTTGTTGACAACCTTCAGATGTAAATGAGAAAATACTTCTATGGTACACTCAGACTAAGTACTAAAACGATAAAGGCTGCTGATCATCCTAGTAGTCTTCACTGTTGGATCTTATCTTGTTTTCGTGCAGTATTAAGAATTAGGTTTAATGTATCTCCCTACATGAATATTAGTAAGTAAGTAAGAAACCTTTATCAATGTGGTCAAGTATACTTAGCTCATAACAGTATTGTGAGTATTGTTTCTTTCTGGGTATTACCATACACAAAAGAAAAGATGAATAAATGAAAAAGAAAATTAATCACAATAGTAATGATAATTGAAAATAAAAATCTATGAAAAGTACTAAAAGAATGTAAACCAAGTTGACGTTTTGTTTCTAATCAACCTTTTGCCTGCTTCTGTAAGGAGAAATTACTTTATAGTCACACCTGGGAGTGAAAGGGTGAAGGCTGAGAGATACACAAGGCGTTATTTAGCTGATTTTAAAATAAATCTGCTATATGGAATTTTGTTGCTGTATTCTCTAAAGCAGTCTTAATATAAAAAGATGGGAGATTTGATGCATTTGAATATTTAAATGAAACTAACAGCTGATTGCTAAAAAATTTATTTCTATATTCTTATTGCTACAGTTTAAAGTCCTTATTTCGATACCAGTATTGTAGTAAATTCTCAGTGACCAAAGCGAATTTTTGGTAACAGTAATGTCTCACTTAAAAGCTGGTTTGTGCTTATGGCAAAGTGTGGGTATTAAGCTAGCAAGCTGTTACATGCATCTGCTCCCACACTCTTCAAAGGTTATGTCATTAATATTTAAAATTTGACATTATTTCTGGAACTGGATGCGATCTGAATTCAAAATAAAGAACTGAAAACGGACCATTTTGATCAGAAGGCTACAGACAACAACAATAAAAAAGCAAAGTGGAGTTGGTAGTTTCAAATTTGTTTTGCAACTGATATATGAAAGCCCGCTTACATGCAAAGTTAAATGAAGTGCAAAGATGGCCTCCAGCAAGGATGCTTGTATACACGTGTTTATAATATTGCAGTCTATCGGTGTTATTTTTCTGTGTTCAGGGTCCGTTTTATGGCAAATCAACGAAAAACAATGTCGACAACGCCAACAGCGCGTCCTACGTAGGAGTTTTCGAGGCAAACTCACTAATTAGGGAAAATAATTATTGAAGCAAATGACGACACCATTTTTCTCATAAGTCGGCTTTCTTTGACAAAGCAGATTCTCCTTTTAAGCTATCGGTGTTAACACTTGTCACCACAAATAATTCATAGACAGGTCTGCAAGTAGCTTGCAAAACCAACATAAAAGCGTAATGAAATTGAATGCATATTGCTAATGTTTCCACGACAACCAAGCCTTTTAGCGCAAATTAATCAGGCAAAATAAAGAAAGGCTCGCATATCATTCCTTGTAACAAACTAAGCGATGCCACAAACCCAATTCGTTTAGCGTGCACTGTACATTTTTTAGAAAAGTCAATAAACACAATGGCAGTTCGGCAACAGTGGAACGATAATAAGTTTTAAGCTATTAAATTTCGCGTAAGACTAAGGTTTTACAGGAATAATTATAATTTATTGAAATAAAACACCCCTGAAGCAGAAGAAGGAAAACTAAGAAATAGCCCAAATTTAATGGGGTTACAGCGCTTCTTTTGTTTTCCTTTTTCCCTTTTTTGTTTGATGCTTATTATTCGCATATCCAAGCCGATAAATACACACAGAAAACAAGCTATCATGTGAAAAATTTGTTTGTCGTCGACGATTGCATTTAGACAGCATTTAGAAACCACAGAGTGTGATCAAATGTAGACGGAGAGATGTCATCGTGTCAATTTTTATCGCAAGATAAATTTTTAAGTGAAGTACTTTTTTTAACCAAGATAGTGAATACTCTAAGAAGAAGTAATTTCGACAATCTTAATGCTTCGTAATAGCACAACAGAATTCAACGAAGCGATAAATTGACATAGAAAGGGAAAGCTCCGTTGGTGCTTGGGTTAAAAATAGGCTTTCAGAAAACAGATAATTTCCGCGCTCTCAGAAAGCCGCCGACATAAAAAAATCGGCTTAAGAAACCAGTTTGTAAACCAGATGCATTCGTAAACGACACATGTTATTTAAACGATCACTGTTTTCAGAAATTATAGGCTTAAAACGGCTTTGTCATTTCTAATGGATCCTTCAACTGCATTATTATTCATAATTTGAAATTGCATTCATAAACAAGTTCAGGAAGTTTTTCGTTGATTTGTAAGTGTAAACTATTTCACAATTCATTCTTAAAAGGACAAGAATTATATAGGAAAATAACTGGGTATTTATTAAATTACCGTATTCCACACTTAATTCGCGTACCTGTAGCTGTATAATAGCGCCTTGGTGACCCTGAAAAGTCTTTATGGGAGCTCCAGTGAGAAGATCCCAAGAGCGAATCGTCGAATCGGCCGAACCAGTAAATAAAGTTTTTCCTTTACCATCCACAGCTAAGCAGTTCACTGCTCCGCCATGTCCTTTGTAAGTAACGAGGCATTCGTTTGAATTCATTCCCCAGCTCTTAGCTGTTCCATCGACCGAACCAGAAATGAGAATGTCATCATTGTTTTCCAAATCTGCTCCGAAAGCCGCTCCACGGTTTGAATCCGACACTAGTAACAGCGGCGTCACCGAAAACCGGTGCCCGCGGAAAGTTCGTAAGCATTCACCTGTGTCTGCATGCCAGCATTTCACTGTTTTGTCGTAAGAACTTGAAAACACTAAGTCCCCTGAGCAAATTACGCGATTTACATTTGAAGTGTGGCCGAGAAATGTTTTAATGCACGCTCCGCTCTCTAAGTTCCACTTTCGAACAGTCTTGTCGGCCGAACTGGTAAATATATACCTTTCCGAAACACACACGCTTATGATATAACTTTTATGGCCATGTAATAATCCTACACACTCTTCAGTCTTTGTATCCCAAAGGCGACCAGTCTTGTCTTCAGAAACGGTGACGATCGTGGTTCCATCATGGCTCATACAAATCGCGTTTATCGCTCCCTCATGTTCCTTAACGCTTTTTAACAGGTACCCGTCCTTTTTTCCTTTCTTCTTCGTCGGTGTCGCCGGCGTTTGAGTTTGTTTTTTTGAGATTCCACTTCCCATGATATATTGTATCGAGGCAGAGCAGTCAATATTCTTGTTGAAACGCGCTGCAGATTATCTCATTCTTGGTAGCCATTATACTTTGTCTTTAAAGTTAGCCTTCGATCAGAGAAATAAACGCGTTTTGGAAAACCATATCAAGTGGAAGACGTGCAGAAGGAAGAAACAATTATGGCGATTTTCGACTTAGAAGTCCCATGAAACGAAAATCCTGGACTTCTGATCCTTGTAGCGCGCTGACCTGCAGTAAGAACGAATGAGGAAAATGCATTGGAAACAAGACAAACAGTGCAACTCTGTCGTTCTTGCGGTGTTTCCTGAGTTACAGGAATTTGTAATGAGCTTGAAACAATGTAGTTTAATTAGAGGAGTTGCTATAGTAAGATCTTGGCCATCATTGGCCGACAGTAAGTTTCAAATTAGAATTTTCCCGTCGAGGTGTCTAATAGGACTTATTTTTGTCCGTCAGGATAATAAAATTACTTTTGTCGCAGCAAAACTAGCATAAATCGTTTCCCAAAATCTGCAGGAGAAGATTTTAATAATGTGTCAGACATGTAACTATAACGTTTTGTGAAAACAATGGACCGAAAACAAAATAAAACAAAACGTGACATAGATTGCTGTATTTCGAAGTTATTTTTAGCGTTTTCTGCTCTCGCTATTTCTATTTTCTGTTTTTTTCCCAAGCGATAGGGTTTTAATTTGAACGCGCTTGGCGATCAGACATATCAGCTTTCGGCTTTGGGAAAGCTTGGCAAGATGTTATCTTTAAGTGTAAAATGCTCTAATGTAATCAGAAGACCCCCAACCGGGAAATTCAGGGCATTAGAAGTTGAAGTTATTGTAGTCGTGTGATGGGGTAGTCAATTTGAATTGTAGTCTTTGCTGTTCAAAATGAATCCAGCCACTTTGAACGCAATTGATAGCAGAATTAACAAATCGAAGGATCTCATTGCGGAAATCATTTCCCAACCCTGGACTTCCCGGGAAGAAAGGAGTATGTGCGTAGCTCTCATAAAGGATTGTAAGCAATTTTTGGCCGTGGATTTTAAGAGGTTTGTGATGAACCATGCACAAATAATCAAAAATTTTTCAACCTGGTTGTCATGGTGATCACTTCAGGTAAATAAGCAGTACCCCTTTAACGACAAGAGATGCGTCGTTAAACGTGGAACAAACAAACATAGATGAAAACAAATAAAAATTAACTAAACTGAATTTCTCCATAAAGGTTCGGTTTCAGAGGATTCGTCGATCAACTTGAAAACAAACTATTGTTATCGTTCCCCAATAAACATTTTGAAAACATAGTATCAATACAAGAAAGCGAGATTTAGATAATTAATAACAATAATCCTCGATGACAGAGGCGATGGAAGAAATATAAACTTTGGAAACAAAACTAAAGAATTAGAGGGAAAAAAGATACCTTTGACGATAAATTCCCTGACGAAGCTGCTTTTTTACTTTACATAGTCGTGGGAAATCTTGTGACAGAAGCTCTGATTCTTTGCCTGTGTTGTCTTATTTTCGTTTTTTTTTCCGGCTTTCCATTCGTAGAAAGTTTTAATCGAAGGAAGTCTTTACTGCTCACGTCACGTTCTCGATTTAGCCTTGTCAATATTTTGTTTAATTTGGGGACACGATCACCTGTCGCAGAGTCACTCACTGGTGTGCCAGTTTTAATTTGGCATCTTTGCGAACTTGAAATTGTCAGTGGCCTCGTTCCATGTAAAATGGAACGTTCGAGCAGATCATATCTAAAAGAACCTTCCAGGGGTTTGATAATGCTGGAAGGCTTGCCACAAAACGCGGGTCTCCTAAAAGATTTCCATAATTTTCCTACTTTGCCGTCTGTGTTTATTATTGGTTATTTACGTAGATCTTTTGCCTTTTACGCAATATTTAAGCAGCGGTTTGCGCACTATTCACGCGCTTGATCGCTAAATAAAAAGCTGAGGTAGCAGGAGAAAGAAATCGAGATGTCGCATATGGTGCGGATTTTAGAATTTTTAAATACTACCTTGTGGTTTAGGAAATACTTTAATTATTTTTATGGTATTTTGTCGGAAGCGTCAGCTGCGCTACCCCCTGGCGTTGTTTTAAAGGAGTAAATTACAGGCTTTCAAGAGATCTGCATTTTAAGTTCGATTTTCGTGGCTGAAATGAATTAACAACGACGTGTTAGCTTTGTGCCCAACGTCATCACATGTATTTGTTTCCGTGGTCGACAGCAGCTGTTGTAAGGACTTGAAAACTATTATTTTAGGAAAGTTTTGTCATCGATTGTAAACGAAAACTTACAGGTTCGGATGTATCTCTGACGAATTTCGCACTGGACAAGACAAAAAAAAAAAAAGGAAAACACAGCATTTTTAAAAGTGGTTAATTATACAGATAATTAAATGACGACCAGAAAGGATGATAAATGAACTTTTCTAATCACCATAGCTACCAAGTTCAATTTTTTCTTTCAGTGCAGTTTGTAAAGTGAACTTAATCAATAGAAAAGTAATTTTTCATTAGCGAAATACATTACGAGGAGTCAAAAAGACGGTGCGTTCAATTGGGAAAATTACTAAAGAATCAACCTAAAGCTTAGATCTTCTCCTTGGTTAGTTTGTCTGGTTTAAGAGCTTTTTCTACAAACACTTGTGTAATGTTTTAATGCCAGCACGTCTGTATTTTTGTTTAACGCTAGCAATTTGCATTTTCGGTTAAGTGCTTAACTCAGCAGAGGCTATTTTGCGTGTGTTGTTTTTTGTGTGTGTGTGTGTGTGTTTTTTAACTTCCGCTTAGTAAGACAACTGATTTTCACGTCGGCCTTAGGGATGAAAATGGTGTCGACTTTTTAATCAGTGTTGGTTTACAGGCGGCCGCGCAGAGGGATTTTACTAATCGCGGCATGACACGCTTAGGTTTTAAAATTGCGCCCTACTTTCAATCAGGCATATTTTGTTTGATCTCGGAAAAAAGGAATTAAAATAATTTTGGTCATAGGTTTGCATGTAAATGAGTAGTAATTTACACTTTTCAATATGTGAAGAAGAGGGCATTTGGTATTTTTTTCAGAAGTGTGATACGCAAAAGGCCATGTAAGTTGAAGTGTTAAACTTCAGTCCTTCAGAAGATAATCTAATAGCAAATATCGTTTCTGCTTTATCGATGCTCATCCTACTCTTCTGTAACTTTTGAAAAGATTCCCCGTTAAACCACCACTCTTCCTCTTTTTCATGACAGCGACCGTCCCAGGATTGCTTTTAGCCCACGTTAATTAGCGATCAACAAGAAGGAGGCCTTAAAACTATTGTCAATCAACTTTGGACGTAAGAATTTATTTGGTGATTAAATTTAACTCCCAGTCATGCAGGTAATGGAACACTTGCGTCCAGTCACGAAATTAGCTTTTTCTCCCTCTTGATCTGCCGAATCACGATTTTTTTATGATTTAACCACAGTGTTCAGCGTTTTCTCTTTCCATCTACAAAAATAAAGTATTACAATAGAGTTTGCCTAATGCGTGTGGTGATATGTAGATTTTGTACTAAACACTTAATATTAATCGCTACCCGCGTCCGACCAAATTTGTGCTTTTCTCGATCACCCACAGTTTTGGGTGATTAAAAGTTGTTTTCATGTCATTAGTAGCCCACGTGTGAGAACTTATTTCGTCCCATATAGCAGGCATACCTTTGATTTTAGTATACCGCCGTATCATATGATTATCTTATTGCTGTTTTGGAACCCGCAGGGCAGGTGAAGTGCCGGCAAATGATCACAGATTACCGCGTTTTCCTTTAGTATTATTTCTCTTCTTCTTTTTTTTTTTATTGCAAAGCTTAAAGAGAAACTATATGAAATAGGCGTGATATTTCCTTTGGAATTTCCTCAGGTTCCTCTTTTGTCCTTGCGGAACACTTGTGTATTCTTTTTCGGTTGAGTGTCTTGGTTGAGTGTTACAGTAAAGGAAAAATAAAAGGTGTTTGCTACAGTTTTAATACTATTCTGTTTCGCGAACGAGCTGTTCAAAGGATTCCACACCCTTAGCAAACAGCCTCACGGACTCAGGTAACAGTAGATCAACGTATTATTGATAACCTTTCACGGTAGATTTATAAAGATGTATTACCTATAGCGCACCAACAGGCATGAAATTATGTTAGGTTTTTGTCATGCTGTAGAAAAATTATCATCTCAAAGAAACGACATTCCATTTCAGAAAGAACCAGACGACCGATCGTTTCTTATTTTCTGTTCCGCACATATGGCTATCACCTCTTGGCCTCGCCCGTCATCACACTTAACCCTTCAGTTTGAGACTTGACCAGTGAATAATTTCTCCTGACAATGTCAATATATTGCTAAGCAGAAAGGTGATGAGACCGATAACCTTATTCTCAGAGTCAATACTTAAAGAAATATATGGCAGATAGTGAGAAGATTTTAGGAGTGAAAGGATAAAAAATTTACTAGGTATTGGAAACACCAGGTAACCTCTCTCCTGCACAGCCCGTACGCAACTAACGCTCGTTCATACCTGGACTCTACTCGTGAGCCGTGACTCAAAAGCGAGGCTAAGGACCGGCTTGATTAGCCTATTTCGTACATGTAGTAGACTAATAGACCACAGAACAATCCCTCTATTTTTGTGCCAATATCACTTTCAATCTCCGGGCCACCAACTTGGCTTGGCGTGATGAAAACAAAATGTTACTCGGTACTAAGACGAGGAGCTGGCTTTTTGACTCTTCGCCCCCAAGTCGAGAGAAGTTTTGGCTTTCCTTTAATTCCCCCACCAGCCGATCTCATGACAGCCTTACTGATGTATTCCTGTAAACAGTTATCCTGCAAAGGCTTGTAACGGCTCATGTTACTAATGACAATTAAATCGATGCATCAAAGGTCAAGGCTCGTAGAACTAGTTTCCCCTGTCACTTCTGTCTGATCTCTTTCGTTGTAATGTATTACATGTTATCGTGAGAGGCAAGCTGTGGTATAGGGAAGGTTTTCCAGGAGTGGGTAGAGGAGTTTTTAGTGCAGTTTCGTTCTTCGTCTCGGATTGCCTTAGATTGAATTTACTTGGCTAGAAAACTCACTCCTTACCCTCAACCAATTAGATGCCAAACTAACACCGCTTGTGACACGCTCACTCTCTCCCCACACTTAGGGTTCTAAGTCCGTCTTGAGTGTGCAACCCTTCCAAGAGTGGAATTTTTCTAAACGGCGAATGCAAAACCACTCTATCCTCACTAATACTCTGAGATGCTCTTTGAAATTGAATTTTTTGTGTATTGTTTTGAAGTTAGATAAATAACTCTCAGACCCGTGCCACTCTGTTACGCCGTACAAGACTTCGAAATCTTCCTTTTGCGCGTTGTTGTTGTTGTTTTTTTCCACTCGCAGCATTTTCTCTAAATCTTATTTGTCGGTTGTCTCTGAATCCCAGAAACAGCCGATCGAGGAGGCCGTATGAAGCGAAGTGGACGAATGGAAGGTCCCCTCCTGATTCGCTATTTATGCTTGTTTCCCTCAGAAAAGACTGGGAACGAGTGAAGAATTCTCTCGCTTTTAACAGTAAAGTCGTGTTTTAGGTTAAAGAATGCTGTTTGACGTCAAGATCAAATGGCGGCGGCAACATTGATATTGATTGGAAAAGTGTTTATTCGCTATCTTTTCGCACAACATTAGAATCTAAACTTAGAGAATTTCAGTTTAAAATTTTAAACCGTATTGTCTTTACAAACGAAAAAATGTTTCGCCGTCCTGTGCTTTCTGCCAAACAGAGGTTGAATCCGTAGAGCATTTACTCTTTCCTGTAGAGTATCATCTAGTTTTTGGAAACATGTCTTGTCCTGGTTGTACGATTATAACATTTCTGTTGATAACCTAAAGAGGAAGATGTCATTTTTGGTAAGTTCGATATTGCAGAAGATTTTCTTCCGTTCAACCATATTTTGCTTCTGGGTAAGTTTTATATTTGCTCTCGGAAATACCAGAATGGTATACCTTCTCTTCAAGGTTTTATAGCCAGGATAAGGCGTATTTACAATATCGAACTCCATATTGCCGGGAAAAGAGACAAATTATACAATTATTTTAGAAAGTGGGAAAAGTTAATAAGTGTTTTTACGAATAAGTGATGTCATGATTAATTTCCATCATTAGTTTTAAAGTGATGTCATTGTAACTCACATACAAGGTAACCGTAGTGCTTTAATAGCTTTGTGTGTGTGTCTTTTTCTCTTTTTTTTTTTTTTTTCTTTCTATTTTGTATGTAAACGTAAGAAATGTTTTAATAAAAAAGTAATTAATAAAAAATGGCGGCGCTTAAAACGGAATTGCAATTGTAAATTGACGGGTAAAGGGGTTTACTAAATTAAGAACGGGATTTGTATGGGAGATATTTGCGGTCTTTGAAGGAATAACTGATAGAAATATTGTCACGAACGCACATTTTTTTTGAAAATTTTCGGAACGAAGCAGTATACAGGATGCTCTTCACATATGAACCTAGCATATCAGGTGTATGGCCTGATTTAACACTAAGTCTCTGTGGCTTGGTGGTAGAGCGTCGGAGCGTGACGAGGTTTGATTCCTCTTTGGGATTCAGAAGTTTTTTTGCGTCCTACGCTCAAGTCACGCTCGCGTCAAGGCTAATAAACATACCCCTTATCTGTCCTACCCATGTAGGGTTTTTCGTTGTAAAATTGTTTTCTACCCGGAATAAGTTTTGCTCAAGGGATATGAGTGTGTTAATGCAGGTCTCGCTGAATTTAATAATGTCGACCCTCTGTCCAATCACAGATCGTAAGTGACACTTTCCTTTTAATTACCTCAGCGTCATGTTGACGCCTTTAATTACTGCTCTGTTATTGCCCTTCGGAGAACCTACTTATTACCAATGAGATTTAAATAATTTTGGTATGGTTTTAATTCAATAGGAAATGATAAATCTTCTTCCTGCTAAGTTAATTTTCGAAGTCTCCTGCTTATAATCGTACTCACTATTAACACTGTTAATTCTTTTCAACCTTAGGGTGGGAGTTCAGATATCGAGCTTAATGGCTATATTTAAATTTCCTGTTTCCTTTAAACTAGACAAAATTCTGAATCAATTAACGGATGGTTATGTATTACCAACAGACATGTTTTCTTAGACAGGTAAAACATAGTTGCTGATTTTGTTAAAAAATAAGATGACGCCGTGTTAATACAAGTTGAATGAAACGTTTCCTTTAGTGTTGCACTACCCGTAATTTTTGGTGCAACGAGTGCAATTTCTGTCGCGACGTAAGCGCATCGTAGCAGAACATCGGAGCGCGGAATCCGAATGTTTGAGGTTGAGGTTCGATTAGCAGTTCTATCGTTTTAGTTGCAGTACGTGAAGGTCTTCGCCATCCTTAGCAATTCTCGTTACCGTTCGCTTTATCTTTGTTTCTTTGTTTATTTGATAAGATAACCTAGGGCGAAGAGGTCCTTCAATTAACGACAATTTTAGTGGCGAAATAAAAGACACAAAAATACTTCCGTTGCCCCACTTTTGCGACCCTGTCTGGTCCTCATCCGACTTTCAGGCGAACGTTTGGAACACCCCCGTGTTTTCATTTTTAAATGGACAGCAGTTGGATAATACATATATTCCTTGTTCCTCATTTCTTTTGAAGGTAACTTTTTTATGGATTTGTGGCTTTTTCTTTTGACTCAGTAGTACTTTTAATGTATACCAGCGTTGTAAAGACATAATGCTACGATGATCTTAGTTAAATCTGTATTATATTAAGCGGCAAGTGGTGTGGAGGTCTATTATTAACTTTTAATAACCTCTGTCGCCGAAAATAAACAGATCTCAAAGGAACCAATGAAAAGAGTCCACTCAGTGAGGAGGCTACCCGAGTGAAATCCCCCCCTTCCCCCCCCCGGCGCTGGTCGGTCATTGCACATTTCTGAAAAATAGGGTTCTAACAAAGCATGCAAGGATTAGCAGACTTAGCACTGTGAATGACCAGCGAACGACTAATGAATTCATTTAAAATAAAAAATAGTAAATGATCTTCCTGTTATTTGAACTCCTCAGTAGCAAAAAAGTCGTAAATTTAATTCGCAAGCAACTCAAAATTCCTGAAACATTTCTTAAATGAATTTACGCACGTTTGTTCTTAGTTTTGTAGCGTCGACGAAAACTGAAGTCTGTGGTACATGTTTTTTAATTCGAACCTGTGATAATAATTTACATTAATTTCAAAGACGATGTATTGTACTCGCCTTTTTGGAAATTCAATGGAACAATTTTAATTACTGTTTTGCCAGTATCAAACTTGTAAGGTATGTTTTTAAATAGATTAAGCTTCTAGAGTTTGTTGTAGAAAGCTGAAGCAGCATTGCGTTTCTGTAAGTTTTTACCATTTTAAGCCAAGTCGGCGACATAGCATCTTCAGAGCATTAAGCCAATGATTTTGTTGTTTGCACTTGCTCTACAGTAGCGTGACATTCGTTTGTTTATTACTTCCAAAGCAAACTTCAGTTTTATTCTATTTCCCGACAGTCGCGCTGAGGTTGTAGCTCCAAACTTAGGCACGCTAAGTTGAATGGCCAATCTTTGGAGCGTAGCTCGAAAATGGTTCCTGAAACAGAATCCGCGGCGCAATGTAACACCCCGCAAAATTAGTACAGTCTTAGAGATTCTACAGAACCAAGAAGAGGCTAAAGATCACGTTTATTATGATGCCTTAAGAAGAATTTCAGCCTCCAAGGTTAGTTGGTTGACAATTTAATTCCTTGCGAAACTTGCTTTTGTTTGTTCCTGTTGTAAAAACGGTCGTGGTTTGTTTTTCGGATGGAATTAATCGCCGACTCCATATTTTATTTGCTTCAAGTGCGAATAAAGATTTCTTCGGAAGAAAAACTTGCCAGCGAGTTTGCTTTCGTTATTGATGAGTTCGGCCGGTGTGAACAGACACCAACTTTGAATTCACGATACTGAATTGAACTTAGTTAAGTTCAGAAAAGTTCTCTACGACGTTGGAGACGGTGTTGTGACTGCTGAGTTCCTCTGGACTGACAGCCAGCCATATCGAAACAGCGTTTGATTTACATTCTTTTCTCAGTGTCATAAGGTGCAGTGCACAGGCTGACTGCACAACGCAAAGATTTTGAGAAGCGGCCCTTAATTTTCAAACGAATCTTCATGGCTTGCTCTTCTAGCAGGACCGTGTTAGTCCCTTCTTGAAATTACAAGGTGCGACAAGACATAAAGAGATGTAATATAACTCGTTGATTGTGCGCTTTTATAACTACAGTCGTATCTGTGTACCTCTGTCTTTGGATGCTAGTACTAATTACAGCACAAAATCTAAGGCCGCTCAGGGGTGAATCAAACCTTTTTTATTTTTTCTTTGTAAGATTTTGAGCTTCAGTTAGGATGTTTTTGTTTTCTCCGGTAAAGAAATTATAGACAAAAGCATAAGTATTCCGTTGTGTTCGTGGATCAATTCAGACGTCAAACTCTTATTGAATAATTATTTTTCGACCGTTGTTTGTTTGATCCAAGGCAATCATGCAGTAAAGGTCATTTGAATTAAATGACAAAGTTTTGTTATAAGCGCAACGTGGATCCAATTCCCCCTAGTCTTTGTCGTGTGGGTTTCTTATGTCCTGTAGTATTAGTAAAATATCCTAAGCAGAAAAAGTAATTTTAATCCCGGCAGATTTTTAAATTAGCGCTTATTTGTTAATGTGTGCTGTTTACTTTAGAATTCGTACGAAATTGGATTTTATGCCAAAATTGAGAACCAGGGGATGGAGGTGTAATTGAAAAATCGGCTTTTAATTTTGACAGTGTGCTGATAACAGCCTGACACTTCAGTGCGTTTTAGTGGTCTTTGTCAGGTGAATACAACAGAATGAGCAGTGATGTCTCCAATCGGCTCGTTCACACGTAATTGAGTACATTTCTGGCACATTCTAAACACTTTGCTCTCATAGTTTTCGTAACTGAATATGACAGGAAAAACATTCATGTGTCCAGCTTGTTCGCGTATAGTTTACTGAAGTTTTTCCGCATCTTAGACACTTGGAGAATTACATTTGCATGTGCGCTGTCGCAACACACTAAACAATGAGACATCTGACGGAAAATATCGACAGGCAGTGAACAATCTTCTTAACTCACTGAATTCTTCTGTTGCGGAGTGAATGTTGTCAAGTCTTAGGTCACTGGCATGTCGAGCTTACGTAACCCTTGAAACAGCTAGTTAATGTTCCACCGTTCCCCAATATGAGGACTACCAATTGAAAGTTCCCTTTTTAAATTTATCCTCTGATTCTTGAGTTGTTGATTGCAATTTTCCTTTATTGGTGTGAAACATTTCCAGGTAAATTCGTGAAGAGAATTTTTAGCCATATCAGGATATCACCGAATCATTTATTTGATAACTCAGTTTTATATTCTCATTAAAAGTTTGCTAGGAACTGTATTAGTACTTAAGGGAGAAGCGTCATGTTAATTGCTTTTGTAGCTAAGGAGTAAATAGCGACGTGACAGAAATTTCTCGAGCTCTTAACCTTTTGTTCACCAGTGACGCATTTTTATTATTAATGTTTTTATTTTTTCGTTCTTTTCTTTCCGGTGAAACTTCAAGGATGAAAAACCTACGTAAGTAGAAGTATGTTTGAACTACGGAGAGCACTGCTTTCCTTCTAAAGCATTAATTTCTTCTGGCATTACTTGCTCCGTTTTTCAACTTCCTATAGGAGGGTGTTGGGAATGCGCGTGGGCTTAGTTTTATTAAGTGATTTAAAATAAACGAAAATTTGTGTTGTTGCTGCTTGAATACTTGTATATGTTAACGTTACATGATTATGCGCGAACGTTACGTTTTTCAGTGTAGGCGTTGGATAGGATTTTTGTTGGTGCTCGAGAAAAAATCTAAGCACCGTGCCTAGGCACGGGCACTTCCCCAGGGGTAGTACTCTGACACCTTTACCAAGCATGCTAACTTGTCTAAACACGGTTTCGCCAGTACCCGTGCTGTTTGCCATGCTTCCTTGCCATGCAGTCACTAAAATTACTGACTTCAAAAACGACGTTTAACACCTAGCTTCGCTTCCACATGAGTGGAGTGCTCGTTCCAGGGTACCAGGTTGGCTGGACAACGTCTATTAAGGTGCTCGGGCAAGGTGTCGCGGAATATGCACCCAGTCTGAACGGGGCCTTAGCTACTTGTGCTTACATGCAAGCCTACTTCTTTGCCTTGATTTGATGACAAGTCTATATACATTTTAAAATTTACTTATATATTTAGAAATGGTTGCGCTAAAACCAACTCCTTACAAGAAATCCAGGAGGAATACAAAGAGCAAGCACCACTCGCTAGTAGGAGATCTCTAGTCAACAAATACCTTCTTTCAATTCGAGAGCCTATCGGAAAGGTATGACAGCCATGTGCGATTAATGATACGGTTAATCTCACTGTAAGCATTCCCTTTCTTTTGAGTGCGGCTATTCGAGGCTTTTCCTTGGCCATTTAAGCATGTTGATATCGGGATCAATGCTGCGGATTTTCATCGTGATGAATTCACTTGCAGTGGACTCGTGTAGTTTGTCTCACGATGTAGTCTCTTTCGTTGTAAATCCCGACGTTTTCTTTGCATACTACTTGCCTTCTTCGCCTGAAAAAAACTATCAGAGTGCACGTGTGATGCACGTCGAAAGTGACTACATCGTGAGACAAACTACTCTACTTCACTACTTTTTCAGCCTGGGTAGTGTCTTTGATAGATTTTTACAATTTCCAAAGAAGTTTTCTAGTTTTGTTTTCCGCAAACTAACATGCCAATTATTGAAAAGAGGAAACTTGTCAAAGAAAACTAGACCGCAACTGAGTTGACAAGCTCAGCAATAAAGTGTACAAGGCCAGTTCTACTCGAGTGGGTCTTCCTTGACTGATGTCGTTGGTGAGTGTCACTTTCTGATGTGTATGTGCCGAGGAAGACTTGCTGGAGGAAGAGCAGTGAACACAAAAACAACAACACCAACAAAACGCAGTTTTTGCGCATGATGCGAAGGTAAAAAACTGACGTGAGTCTTGAGACTTTCAAAAACACATCTCTTTAAATTTATCAGTAACTTTTGGTTAGGATTGTAGTATTATTAACTCTTCTCTTATTTTCACAACTGCAGGTTTTTCGATCTGAACGACTTGTTGTTGATCCAGAGGATGACATCTACTACATATGGATGGTACATAAAATCCCTTCAAGTTGAATATTAAAATCAATACACCACACAAATTCGCATAATTTCTCTTTCTAACCTAAAAAGAGTGCTTTGAGCTAGTCAGATTTCGCGGCGAACCATTTTCGCTCCTCATGTAAGATTACTTACCGACATCCCTTTTATTGTTTATCAGAATTTGCCTTTTAAGACTGAAGAAATTCTTTTGTTTCCTGCAGGGTGTAATTGCAGCTACGGTCATCTACAACTTTTGTACCGTCATTCTTAGAATCGCTTTCACAGAATCATCGGAAGAGGTAGGAGTGATGTGTTGAAATGGGGCGTTGGAAATACGTCCTCTGCTCTTCTTCTTTTGACTTGTCTTCTTTTTACACAGATTTCACCCGTTAACTCTTAGGTGTTTTTATCTTGACCAGCGTACTAGTTAGAGGGTGTTGTCTTAATACAATTCCAATTGCATCAGTCCTAAAACGTTTTTTAACGGGAACGTTTTTCTTGTTTAGTCTCTCTCTAGACTCCTTTTCTGGTGGGGAGATGTTTTTGCAGATGGATTGTATGCCTGTGACGTGTGCGTGCAACTAAGAACTGCTTATCGAGATGATCAGGGAATTATGGTACATGATGTTCTCTTGTCTTCACTGTATTTAGTCGCCAAAGAGAGTTTCAATTAATTCCCATGACTTGATTTCCTTTTGTTCTGATGACTTCAAAGAGTCGACTTCTCTGGTTATATGAGTTCGTCAGACATTTGAACCCTCACGTGGACTATTACACTCCAAATCCCTTTGACTTCATCACTCCATTCCATCTCCCTTTCCTCTTCTTTCTTTGAAGGTTAAGGATCCTGTACAATTATCAGAGACGTATACAAAGAAGAGACGATTTAAAGTTGATATTATTTGCCTTCTACCCCTGGAAACAGTTTCCCGTGTGATATTTTGTGAGTACGACATAATTACTCTCTTTTAAAGCTGTAACGGGATCTTTGTCGTTCGTATGAAAATCAGACCTCAAGGTTTCTTGAAAAGGCAATGACACTTTTTCTCAGGGTTTATAAAGTGATCGCGGGTTTTTGGGATAAAATGAGGAGGAAAGCCTGTTGATCGAGAGCCATGGATAATTTTCTCGGGCAAGACACGCTACACTCTCCACCAAGGAGTATAAATAGGTACCGTGGAACAGTCCAGTGAACCCGAAAACTGCAGGGTCGGGAGCGAGGGGCCAAAGCTGCGATGTACTAGCATCCCTACTAGGGAAAATGGCAAGATTTCTGTTTTTTTTTTTTTTGTCTTTCCATGTCTTCGAAACTTTTACCTTGAATGGGGCACTGAACTTGTTCATGTCTCTTTTTTTTTGGTTTTTTATTTTTTTTCTCTCTCTCTCTTTACGTCTAGTTCCCTGTCATTTTTCGCTGTTCCGATTACCCAGACTTCTCAAATGGCATTCAGTAGAAACATTTTTCCTTATGAGTGACTATCGAACCAGTAAACCAAACCGCCTGCGGGCTTCCAAACTGATTCTGTACTTGAGTGTGGCCATGCATTGGGTTGCTTGCTTATACTACGCCATCTCTGAGTATGAAGGACTGGGGACTAATGACTGGGTGTACACAGAAACCGTGAAAGGCGGTGATCCACTCTCCAGGTCAGTGGTTTATGCAATAAAAAGTTAACTCCGAGGCAATTATATTTTCAGGAATAAAGTACTCTGAACGTCTTAGCTAGGTATCATATTTAAGGGTTGCAATAACTTTTTCTACAAGCGACTGCCGATGGTGTGATGGACGGATGTGCCCGTAAAAGGGGCTGTAAGGCCCCTTTCCCCGAGGGGGATCTGGGGGTATGTTACCCCAAGAAAAAGATTAAACCTAGTACATTTCGTTATCTGGTAACCGAGTCGAATGGCGAAAGATAATGAACGCTTGTGACATCACTGATCCCAGCAGAAGGCGGTATGGATGTCACTAATTACAATATAGAGAGGCGTACACATCTGACCGATTTGAGTAACGGAAGATAAAGGACGCTTTCCATATTGCTGATCATAGCAGTCAAGATAAAAAATATAAAACAAAACAAAACAAAACAAAAACAACAAAAAGAGAAGACAAAAAACTTAATATTTAAGCATCAGACTCATCGTGAATCAACAACGTTAGTTCTACCAGAACGTAAAACATTTCACTTGTACCCAAAAAATGTAATCAATTCTTTTTGAGAACCCAAAGAATGTGTTCCACCGAGGATTTTGCTTCCAAAGAAACTATGACAGAACTGTTTATCGACATTTAGTATTTTGTGCATCTGACAGGAAGTACGTGAAATCCTTTTATTGGTCTGTCCTTACTTTGATGACAATTGGAGAAACGCCAAGTCCCCAGACAAATCTTGTAAGTAAATCATAGACAAATGTCATTGACTGGGCCTCGAAGGAGTCCGGTTCATAACAACAAAGAGGGGGATTTGGAAAATTTCCAGCTTTTCTAACCTCGCGGATCGTCAATGCTACATATATCTCGAGCCTCAGGGAGACCAACAAGAAAAATTATTTGAGAGATCCAGAGTAGTACCACTGTGTTACACTGATTTAGGTTCCATACCCATATAGAAGTTTAAAATAATAAGGTGCACTGACACAATTCAATTAAACAACGCAGTTAATATTTGAGATATCTTAGGTAAAATAACACTCAGCAGTGATGCTGCTTCCATTGAATCAAACTTTCAGGACTCAAGGATCGATCCGCACAAAACCTCCCCGGTCGTAATTTCCATCATCCATAAGAAGCGAAGCATAGATATTCATTCATTTCCCACTTTCACAGAACCTTGACGAGAACTCCGTGTGCAAACTTGTACCCTTTACTATTTCCTTACGCATTAACCCCTCACACCCTAACTTGACTTGGCATATTCTCCACACTGCTCGCTATACCTTTCCTATGGTACGCACAGGGAGAATTTGTCGAGCAATCATAACCTTCCTTAGTAGGGGACCTTTTACTTTATTCTTGAGACGTGAATGTTTAGTGAGAAGTGATACTGAAAGGAAAAATTCAATGCTAGTTGTTAGGGATGAGAGATTAATGTAAGACCTCTCCACTTTTACAAGTCTCAGTCTGGCGTAATTGTTGCGTTCTCACTCGTATCACCTGCAGGAATATATTTTCACTGGCTGTATGTTTCTCCTGGGAATCTTTGTGTTTGCCACGGTTGTGGGCAACGTTGGTGACGTCATTAGCAACATGAATGCGGCGAGAACTAATTTTCAAGCGAGGTACGAAATTCTTTAGTTCGCACTCTACGATTGTAGGAGAGACGCGGTAGCGTGGTGTTTCAAGCAGAAGAGCCCAGACGAAAGGTCTCTGTTCGAGCCTTGGCTGGCTCATCGTGTAGTGATCGTGACACTTTTTTCTCTCAGAGCCTCTCCACATTTAGGAGTATAAATGAGTAATGGTGAATTGTCAGGGAAACTTGATGATTTGCGAGGGGTGACCCATCCAGAAGGTCAGGAATAGCATCATACTGAGTCGAATCATCTACTGAGACTCGGATAAGCTTTAGTAAGATTGAGTCGTTAAGATTTCCCTTAACTCTGAAAATGATTTTTGTGTGTGTGTTAGGATGGATGCAATCAAGCAGTACATGGAGCATCACAATGTACCTCACATGCTACAAACTCGGGTCAAAAGATGGGCTCATTACGCATGGAGCAGGTCTGTCACTAGAAAAGCACGTAGAATCAAAACGTGTTTAAGTTTATTTTTCTGTTCTATTTTCGATGCTAGACACATTGTCTTCACACAAACATGACCAGTCACTTCAAGTTTATTTTCTTCCCCCCCAGGACACAAGCCCTAGACGAAGGGGCGTCTTTGGAAATGCTCCCTGAGAGATTAAGAACTGAGATAGCCATTCATGTGCATCTAGACACGTTGCGAAAGGTACTGGTTATGCCTTGGGTGGTTAACGTCTTAAACCCGCGCATCAGTGTGTATGTTCTCCATGCTGATCATACTTTAGTTCTCTAGTGGTTGATTGTGTTCAGGGAAAGGTGCTAACTCCCTTCGAAAACTATTTGCGCAAAACATTTTATTACGTGTTTCCAAACTTTTGTTTTTACCGCTCTCACAGGTGAAGATCTTCAAGGACTGCGAACAAGGCCTGCTATGTGAATTGGTACTAAAACTTCGACCGCAAATTTTTTCCCCTGGAGACTATATCTGTCGTTGTGGTGAAATAGGTAAAAGATTATGGAACGTGTTTAGATTCAAATGTCTGGGAGCACTCGTATTCATACACCAGGGGGAGTAGCAATACTTATCGTTACTTGGTGTTACAGAATCTGGAATAAGCTAAGGAGTCGGTCTTGTTTATATATATTGTGCCTCTAATTGTAAAATGAATTTTAAGGAAAATCTATGGTCGGTATTTATGTGATATGTTTAAGAGGACTTTTTGGGGCTTAGTTACAGACAGAATTCTTTATTACCTGTAATCTCTGTTGGTCCTTTTCCCACCAGGACGGGAAATGTATATTATCAACAACGGAAAAGTTGAGGTAAGGCAACGTTAAAAATTCCGCAACCTGTAGTATTGTGATTGTTTTTGTAATTTCAAACATACTCATGCGTGAAATAAGAAACAACAGGGAACGTAAATGACTGTGAATATATGAAAATCATATATGTGAACTGCGGATAAAGACGTGAATTTGAAAGCGGTCTTCGCAGTAATGAACACTATTTGAGCAGTAGTGAATTAAGGCCTGAAAAAACAAGTCAAGCCTGTACGGGATTTGAACCCATGACCTCTGCGATACCGCTGCAGTAACCTATCAAGTTAGCTAACAAGCCAACTGGGAGCTGATCATTATGTTGGTTCCAAATAAGCCCGCGAAGTGATGAATAAATGACCGTGAATATATGAAAATCATATATGTGACCTGCACTAGGCGTACAGGCTCTCTTGCATTCAAGAGGTGGTCGGGCTGGTCAGCAAAACTTTTCATTCATTGCGCGATACTGAAAATTCTATCAGAACCGAAGTTGCCAATTTAACAAAAATCCTCAATGGCCCACAGGGTAACGTAGCATCTAAGACTGCTGCGTCAATTGAAATGCTTAACGGCCTTGAAAACCTTCAGCAAGGCTCAGAATTATACTGATATGACGCTCTTAACCTGCTGGGTTGCATGGCACTCGCCGTGGGAAATATTCACTCAGTTACGCATCACAAAGATCAACTTTTCACGGTGGTAGATTACGTAAGAAACTTTGGAAATGCAGCCAAAAAAAGTTTAAAGAGGGCAACCCATTGGGCGGTGTACTATTTTACAAATCCAAATGCTTGGTATCCTGTACCCGAACGTGTCATGATCCTGTAAGCCATACCAGTAATTCAACCGTCACCACCTGTACCGATGGCACCACAGAGCATACAGAAGATGAATGAATGGGCGTAAACATTTGTTGCAGTGCGTTAGCGCTCTGTCAGACAGGAAACAACGATGGCAAGAGTTTAAATTCCTCAGTCGTACCTCCATCAGAGAGAAATTCAGCCAAGCGAACCGATCAGCCTCGAACGCTCTGACTTCGAGGAGCAGCGAGAAAACAGTGGGAAACGAGACGAAGGGGAAGATGGAATATTAGAGTACGATTCCCCCAAGTGATGATGGGGACATTCCATCTTTAGAACGTGAGGCTGATTTTCACCTCGGAAGAGGTTCCCGCTGAGGAAGAAGTAATCGCTTCGACAGCAGAATTGTGTCTGGTTAATTTTATTTCTCTTGTTACGGCACTATGAGATTGCCGTCACCTTTCGTGTGTTATGCACTTTTTGACATTGATATCCATTTCTTTGATACTGACCTGTCTCTAATAATAATAGGTTTGCATGTGATCGAAGTTAAACGGAAGGAAGTCGTTACCGTGACTACGTACGTTTTTCGTGCAAACTTTTAAAACTTCTTGAATGAACGATATCATCATTTTGGTAAAAATAGATAAACTTACGCCTTACATTGACCATAGACTTCAACGGATCAATGCTGGTTGAGACAATCATCACCCACCCAAAAGGCCCTCCTACGTTTAGGAAATGGACCAAGACAACATTTCATGGTCGGGATTGGGATTACTTGTAGTCAGTATAAACCGTTGGGATTACGGGGCTGAGATATAGTTTTAGTCGGGATCGCGGGATGGAAAAACTCTTTTGGGGACCCTCTATTGATGTTACACTGCTCTCCCGCCTCTCTCCAATTCTCTCCTCTCTGGAATTCTCATTCTACAGTCTTTCTTCATTACAGGTAGTAATACCAGACTCAAACACTGGCGAGGAGGTTGTGGTAGCTTCCCTCACAGAGGGTAACTATTTCGGGGAGATAAGCCTGTTAAGACTCGACGCCGGTAAAAACAGGTTAATGAAGAGTGATCACTTTTAGTGGCACAAGCTTTATCATACCATTAATTTCTGACGCACCTAAAAGTTTAAATGAAGTAGGTAATTTTTTTTTCTTTGAACCATATAGACGCTCTGCCGATGTGCGCTCAGTGGGTTACTCGGAATTGTTGTGTCTCTCTCAAAAGGACCTAATGGAGGTAAGATCTCACTTCTTGTACTTTCTTTCAATTCCTTCAATTTTTCCCCCTTTTTAAGTGTTTAACAGTTATTGGTTTGAACCTGGGAATATCTATCGATCGTGTAGTGGAATCGTCTGGTTTAGGGTAGTTTATAATCGGAGTGCCATTGGTGACCGTACATTATGTTTCAACAAACTTAGTGGAAATCATCGTCAAATCAATGTATTAATCAATTTTCACGAATCAGACTTGAGACAAAACGATGACAAAAGAATCCTCTCCTGGCTCTGGTGTTACGTATAGCAGGTACTCTCGCCAATAAGAGTATTTTTCATTTAATAAACATTAAATAATATATTATTTACAGGCCTTAGAGGAGTATCCTGAAGCTAAAAAAGTACTAGAAAGTCAAGGGCGAGACAGGTAAGAAACTAATTTTGTTCGGCGAGACAAGGGAGAAGTTTTGGACGGAAATGTTTAATTTTCTTTTTCTTTTTTTTTTGTTGTTGTTGTTGTTTTCTTTGTCCTCTGTTTGTTTGTTTTTACTTTTCCTCTCTGTTGTAATCGGAATTTAGCATGAAAGATAGATGCGTTTTCCCTTGGAAACCTTTTAAATTTTAATCTTTAGTTATAGTTTCACCTGTAGGCTTAAAAGTTTTCTCGTTCTAGATTACAGAGGGCAAGGTCGAGTAACAATCTCTCAATACCCCATCCTGATTCAGAGAGAGAACAATTTCGTAATCTAGAATTCAACTTCGGTAAGTGATTTTTTTTATATCTAGCCATAACACTGTTTCGTGATTGGGGTATGATGCTTGTTGAGCAAAACGACGGCTGCGAATGAGATCACATGATAGAGTATCGTAAAACCAAAACCATAGTATCATCACCGGCCAATCAGAACTGAGGGAAATATCGGAAGGAGCCAATCAGAACTCAAAATAAAAACAAGCCAACCCTCTGGAGCGCAGGAAAACGCGAGTAACCACGTTGTGATTGGCTGATAAAGTGGCGCGAGTTTTCTGGACCAATCACAGAGCAAAGTAAAGCAAAACCAATGCAATCCAGGATTGCGTTCGACATTCAGTTGAAATACCTTTACATTAAGAGTAAGAGTAACTTGAGAAGGTCTACCCGTGGAAGAAAGACCTGTAAGTTGAAATTTCCTCACAGGTGGGTTCTTTCTAGAGCATAAACTTAAGAAGTATTGCCTCCATAATGGAGAGCATTATAGCTGATGTGCTAAAATGGTCGAAACTGGGAAATTGGTGATAAAAGTTTCAATATTGAAAATAGTTTTGAGAGTTTACAATGTAACAATAATACTGATGTATGTAATGTGTTTTGATAGCAAAAATGATTTCATTCTCTGATAAAACGTATTAACTGCGATTCTCGTAAAGTGTCTTTTGGAATGACGAGAGAGGCAAGAGTGGCAAGTACTCAAGAAACAATTCTTCTTTTTTATTTCAATCATCCATTTATAGCGAGGGAAATCAGCATCGTCAAAGAACTCTTAGAGGAAATTAAAGAAAGCAAAAAGGAGGTGGGTAAAAATTTCTCGCACCTTTTTATAATACTGAAATGAAAAAAATGGAGCTACAGTTAACAGACGGACGGAGGGATGGTGGGGCTTTTGTCGAGCTTTAAATACATTTGAATCCTTCGCGAGGTTCGATGAATTTGTACAGCTGCCTAGATGTGTCACTTACAGCTGAGACCTACTTAAATGAAGAATTTTAAACTCATCATTTGAGTGTTGACTGGTTGATTTTTCAGTTCTATAAATGCGAGCCAGTAAGGAGTCTTAGAGAAGAGGTATGCTGTTTCCTTCAATGTGGTTCATAGTCTCTCTAGCAAGCTTAAAATGATATTACCCAATTATTATTTCCTGATTTACTCGCAATTAATGTACGTGCACATGTAGTGGTCTTCACAAAATCGAAAGTGCAGGATGGGATTATTTTCTGAAGCGCTTTGGGAGCAGTCAGCAGTTAGTCTACTGCACCTGATGGAACGCTATTCATCGCAGGTACCATCTCAGCATTTCGTCAGATTTCCTTGGCAGTTTGCCTGTACCCATTTATAATCCTGGGTGGAGAAATGCAATGTGATAAGAAGTGGCTGGGGATCTAACTTTGTCCCAGACCTTTCGATTAAAAGGCCACCGCGCCTCCTACAGATTGCATGATGAGGTAAACAAAAGTATTTCGACAAATAATCAGGGTTTATTATAAATTACCCCAAAACTGATTTGTTAAGTACTAAATAGTAGCGTCAAAGCTGAGGGCGAGTGTATCTCTGATATCGCAATTACGGAGCCACATGCTTTCCCATGGTGTGCATTCTTTTGACAGATGATCGACTAATGAATGTGGAAGTAACGCTAAAGGGTCATTAAAGCAAACTTCCTCTTCGTCCTTGTGTTTCCCTTGCCTCCATTCCATCCCTTGAAAAGAAATTTAGTTGCTCTCTCGACTTTCCCGCTACTTCAAACATCCAAGATGGTGACAAAACTTTTCACAAAGAAATAGTAAGCGTTCGCTTTTTGCTCTGCCGGCTCCTGTGTTTGCATTGACAGTTATGAAATGTTTACCTAGCTTCTTTTGCGCTTTTCGATGACTGGTCGTTGTCCATATCTTTATTTGCCGGTAGACTAGAATTTATAGTTAGCTAGAGGCATGTCTGCCTGGTAAAAGTAACGAGGAACCGCTTTTTATAACCTCGCTCGATGATTGGTGTAGAAAACTCGTGTCCCCTCTCAACCAATCATGTGCATAGCTATGACCAATCTCGACCAGTTCATTCGCGTTTTCCGTCGCACGCAGGCCCTATGCCTTTGAATTTTACTGAGTTATCATTTGCTTTGTGATATTCTTATTTGTCCCGACTGGCTTTTGTGATTACTTTGGATTTCATTTTAAGACACTGACGAAAAGCGCTCTAAAATCAGGTTTGGTTTGATTTTTAGTGCCTAAACTTGAGGGTTCAAATAGAGACGCAAATGGAGGAAATAGAAGAAATTAAACAACAGCTCGCACTGCGAAGTAGGTCACCAAATGACGAAAAGAGCCGAAGAAGGTCAAGTGCAGAAGCAAAGACTGCGAGAAGACTGATCGATAAAGTTATTTCAGCCGCAAAAGTAGCTGCGTCACATAATTCCACTAAAACCTTTCAAGAAAGGGATGTTGAGAGTAAAAGTCAACTTAGAACAAGTGAAAGTGAATTGCGGCAAAGAGAGGGAATTGCTCGAGACGATGTCCCTGATATATTCGTAGAGAATGATATCGACGGAAGGTGTTATCTTGGACCGCGTAGAAGATCATTATTTGATAACAATAACAATGATGAAGTTGTGCAAGATGTGACTTTCAAGACATAAAGTAGGCCTTTCACGAGACGTCTCAAAGCATTAGTTTCAAAACTAGAGTGATTTTGAAGCCTTTAAGGTTTAGCGCGGGGTGTTATTTTGAAAGTGACATGTTTTAGAACACGGAAATGTCCCATAAGACAGCCGAAGATTCGACGCTTTCGATGGAGATATCGAGGACATCGCGAAATAGACTTAAATGATTAAAATCTCTTCACGGATTAGAGAGAAGTTGCTACAGTAAATTTAGTCGAGCTTACAAAAAACGTTAATTTGGCAGAGATGTCTCCTTCAGAGTGCACCATTAGTTCATAAATGGGCCAAATGGAAACCGCGAATATTTGCAAATTAACTAGTTGGTATGAATACACCGTAAGCTATTTTTCCCGAATGACGAACACCACCATGCTAGATTTTTCCCTTTTTAATCACTTCTTGTTTGCAGACAGATTTGGTTTTGTTATAATTGTTTTGTATCAGACATAAACACAAGTGGGAGGGTAAAAACGTGTGAAAACAAAAAAAATAATGACGATATGAAAGCGTTGATTTTGATCCGTGGTAAGCGTTTTACAACACGAAAATAAATAATCTAGAAAAAACAAACTTAAATCGTCAATTTGGATAACATTGGAATGCAGCGACAATAAGGGCGCAGGAGAGATTAGTGAACCTATTCCTGTCTGAGTTAGGCAACATATAATAAATCACATATTTGGACATCATGTGCCATAAAGGCTAAAGGTTACCACTGAAAGTCATCAAATCTAGCCAACAAAAATCTAATTCATTCAGACAACTCGTATAGTACTTGAGCACGCGACGGAACTCAAATTTTGAGCCTGTCTTCTCGAAGATGAGTTTGAATTATCAAACGAGGAATAACTCACCATATATTTAGCTCGTAATGCGCTTTGTGTTAATCTTGAACTGACTGAGGCAGACATTAGGAATCATAACTCAGTTTTTAAGACATTTTACCCAACTTTTTCAATTAAAAGACTACGTCTCGGTTGGTAAGTTTACCTTTTGACGATAGATGCGCCTGTTTGATTAATACGCAAGTCAGCATTGCTTTGAAGGTCAATGACAAGAAAGCTGTAATTTTAGGATCATCTGGTGGCTAAAATTATCTGAGAGCCATTGATCTCCTACTTCCAATTATTGAATTTTAATACACCTTAACCGGGACTAAAAAACTCCGCCTCTGTATTTTTAATGTAAACTCAGGATGTAGAGGCGAGGTGGTATTTTCGTTGATATGGTAATAACTCATTTATTCGTTCTCGCCTGGCTCTCGAGGAGTTGACCTCAAAAATATGCGCGATAAAACGAACCTGACTTTTTTTAGCAATCCAAGCACGCGATTTGGAAAAAATCCGTAATCCTATTGATTTCTGATACGTGTGTTTATTTAGAGAGAGACGCATAAAACGTTTGATGGTTTTATAGAATTCTTTTAGCGCTTTTGTCAATAAGCCGCTTGCGCCCTTCAAGTGACTCGTCTAAAATTTTAGGCCACCCCAGGAAAACAATCTTGCACAAGATGATATATTTAAAAATAGGATACGCTTAGTCTATATATTTTGCAAAATTACTCAGAGTGAGTCGAAAAGGCGCTTTTCAGCTACAAAAATTACGGAAATTGAATATAACTAGAAAAGGAAACATGGAGCCAGGGAGAGGTATTTCCACGATGGAAAAAAATGGACTTGGAGAGAATTGCGTGTTGTTAAGTGTGGAAACGAAATCCGTAAACAAGGAATTCTGGAATGAGGCACAAAAGGAGACCAATTTGAGGGTTTGTTTCCTGTTCATTGTTTTCTTCTTTGAAAATTAATGAGATGTCCTGAATAAAACTGAACAATTTCGTGTGGTGACAATGTTTACGTTGCTAAAGTGATATTTGACATTGGGAGTCTGTTTTTGAAAAGCACTCAAAAGTCAGGAAGTGTGAGATGACAAGTGTTTTAGACGCGATAAAAATACAATTTATATGATAAATAGCCTTGGTATGTCTTAAAAACTCGAAATGAAAGAGGTTCTGAAATAAAGTCACGTAATGATACTGGACGATTTTTTCCGAAGATTAGGTAAATACGGGATCTAATTGCACGGCCCTACACCGCATAGGAATAGAAAGAGAAAGGAAGAGAGATATCCCTACTCCGGCTTCGTAAATAATTTTTACACTTACGTGTTTAAAAAGTCTCAAGTCCCTTTCAGCGCTGAATCAACAAGTCTTGGCGGGGGTTATATTGATTCGTCCACAGAAATGTGGCTCCATTTCGACGTTGGTGAAAGTTTTCGTTTAATTCTAGGATGGACAGTCTTCTCCATTCATTGAGGTCGTTCTGACTTGTTAGCTAGTTTGGTCTGTTAATTTGGTGCTCAACTAAGAAATTTCCCCTAATAAATACGGGAGTCCCTCAGAAATTTTATTTTCCGAAATCCATTTCTTCTTTTTCACCAAAGTTCATCAACAAATTTCCTTTTGCCAAAGTGACAAAGACAACAAGACTGCATTATCACATTAAGGAGTATTAGTTTCATACTAATGAAAGAATTATTCACAGTCAAAAGATTTCACGGGTTGCCATCGCAATAAACTTCAATTTAAAGAGCTGAATTGTCTGCCAAGTTTGTGTTGTCGTATTTTCGAAAGTGACGTTGTGAAGAATCAATTCAGGATATCACTTTCATCACGAAATTAAATGTGCTTCCGAGGCTAATTGCATGTGCTTCAAATCTGCGGTCACAATTACAAGCTTTTAACCAGACCATGTGCTGCCTTAAGGAGTCTTTAATTGCACATTTTCACAAACAACAACCCTCGACCAATAAAACACTGCCTTCTATTTGTACATTGTTTGGCGTCTTAAGGCCTCATATTACGTGAAAGAAGCCACTTAAGCCCTTTTCGGCAGCCATTCTTTGCGTTCAGTGCTCACGCCTAGGTTAACCGCAGATTTAGAACGACAGAAAGTATAACTTCTCGAAAGCTTAAAAGGAATCGGCGCCCAAACACCCTTTCGCTCATTGTGTAAACAAGGCACACGCGCGAGAGTGCACCATGGCACTGAGTTCACAACTACGACGTGGTGCTGTAATTGGTTTTGCTTCAGCTATTTATTTCGCGGCTGATGTGCTGCAGTTTTGTTCTTTAAGCAATGTTTGATTTTGTACTTACGTCTTGCACAATCTTTTTGATAAGTGAATCTAAAGTACGCTCAGTAATTATGATATAACGAAGGGGCGGGCAGGCAACACTGAATTGAAATAGCAACCTCAAAGAGCTCGCGTTTTATGTACTCAAAGGGTTTGTAACTGTTGAACGTAATGACAGTTTTAACAATAGAAAAGTTTAAGAAAAATTGCTGTGAAATCAAAGGCATTAACGACTGCCACGGAAGCTCTAATTTTCAAATTTCAAACTACTTCCAATCGCCCGTCACCGGAAAAAAACCTCAGCAATAACATCAAGTATGCTACTACTGGCGAAGGCAGACTTGATCACAATACATCTAATTAATGTTTCTCTTTACGTCTAATCGCGTGTTGACAAGCGACAGTGACAAATCGTTGATAAAGCTGCCCGAAAAAGGATCATTTGATCAGCTAGTGACATAACATGACTGTCACACTCTTCACACTTAAGAACTACGGCCACTCCCACTGAAACTGACACATGTCTCGTCCATTTCAACCCTTACGCATATTTTAGAGCGAGAGCTACAATGATCGACTTAATGAAACCCTAAATTCAGTACCTCTCTCGATAGCCGGATACTCGGTCGAAATGAGTTCGTTTTCGATAGACAGTATTCTCGCTCTTGAGGAGAGCAAGTGTGGAAGAAGGCAAGGAAACGAAACTCGCAAAAATGTAACTAGCCTGAGCCTTGAAGAACTTCGAGACCAAGAGATCAGTACGTCTAAGTGTGAAGAACGTAACAGTAGTTCTCCAGATTCAAGTCCAGCTCGTGGAACGGAACAATCTTCTTACGAAGGTACAGACCCAGCTAATATCCCCATATTTCCCTCGCAGTTTAGTTGTCTTCAATCGGCTCTATAAATTCTATTTTTGTCGATAAGTGGAGACTCAAGTGTCACAATCGCAATATTCTACTTGCCATATTCTTAAATTGCGCATCAAGTACTTAACCAAGGGTTACATGTAAAAGAAAATTTTCATGTTTTGGATTTTACACGAGACACATAAACAAACTCAGCAAGAAAGTGTAATCACGCAAGAAATGCATCGCGCAAAATCAAATTCACGAAGCGTGCGAAAAATTTGCGTCAGTGTTCCGCGTTCCTGCATTCTGTTTTTCAGTTCGTCGATCGTCATTTCCGTTTTTAACATTTTTCTTCCTTTTATTTTAGCTGATTCTACAGAGAGACTCGATGTAGAGGATTTTAGCAACGAAAACGAAAATGACCCAGAAACGGAAATTCCCAACACTAAAAAGCGAAAACGAAGAGTGCTATTCTCTAAGGCGCAGATCTTCGAACTTGAGAGACGCTTTAGACAGCAACGGTACCTTTCTGCGCCAGAACGGGAACAGTTAGCTCGACTTATAAACCTCTCTCCGACACAAGTAAAAATATGGTTTCAAAATCACCGGTATAAATTCAAGAAGCAGATCGGGGATAAAGGACATCTTGCGAGCGAGGCCTTGCCTTTCATGAGCCCAAGACTTGTTCCCGTCCCTGTTCTTGTACATGAAGGCCAGCCTTGTTATAGACATAGAACTTTAACCACTCCAAGGCAGGAATTCAGTAATGGATTCTCCGGTTATCCTCCAGTGCCTTTCCTGTACTCGAGCACCGGCGCTGTATACAATAATCGCTTCTGGGGCTTTTCTTAGATTAGAGTAATGCTTTAGCAAATAGCGTTCGAGTCAGTTATTTTGACGCTACTAACGCAACCAAACATCTAATCCCGTTCGTGTTTATACAACTTAGCTGTTACTCTAGGGGTTAATATTTCGTATTCCATTCAACATTAGACGTTTTGTGTAATACCTTCAAGATTATCGCTTTTTAACATTCGAAATTTGCCAGACAAGTCTGTGATGAAACAGAACAGTCAGTGTTCTTAAGCTGGTGGCCCAGTTTACTTTGAAAAAGCTTTAGGGTTAAGCTTCGTTTGAAGAGTTCTTGAAGTTTCGCCATGTGCAACACTAGCTTATGTACAAAAGATTACCGGTCATATCTATTTGTATTCCTGCTCATGAAATACTTCATTCTCAGCCGACAAGGACTCTAAGAACAGAAGTCTTAAGATTCTCACCATAGGCGCGAAACATTTGATAAATCCTCACTGCTGGGTGTTTATTGTTGAGAGTTTTATTGTCTTCAAGTCAAACTGCCCTGTGACAACGGCTCGGTTTAACATAGAATTGCAATATTTGCCGAGATCTTGGCAAACAAGTTGTATATGGTCATAAGATTTTGTAATCTACTAAGTAATATGTAAGAGCCACTGACAAACTCAGGGATTAGGATATCCTTTTCTACTGGCCATTAAATAACAATAAACTTCTCAGTGTACGAAAAGAAATCAACCGGACGCAGTTTGCGCCAACAAAGAAACGATTTTTTATTGTTGTTAGTCTCCTTTGCGTGGGTTTCTTGGGACATGATCAACGTCTATTATAGGATCTCAAACCTCGTTGGAAAAAAAAGGGATTTAAAGATGTTGGGAACGTGATGTTATCTCTTTAGGCGGAGCGTTGCGGCGATTCTTAAGCTCTACGTATTTTCGCGGTAATAGGGATAAGTAATGATAAGAGTGCATTCGTTATAACCTTGGTCCGGAGAGATTGGCGCGGAACTCTATCTTAAGTGCCAAGCGCGGCCTTCATCTCAACTGTCGCTTTAAAATAGAACTGATTTGCGACTTGGTTGGACTTATCTTTGCGGAGGAGGCGGCTATATCGACCAAAGCCGGGCGAGCGGGAAAACGAGAGAAAGACCTTTTCTTCAAGGGGTGCGTTGAGCATTGCGCGCAATATTCATATCGATGTCAACAACCATTGTTTGACGTTCAAGGAAAATTTCCAAATTTGCAGCTTAACGCCAGTGTTTACAGAGCTCTGGTTTGCGTTAAAATGATTAACTAGGAGTTAATCTTCAAAATTGAGTCTTCAAGGCCAGGTTTAAGCGATTACGCTTAGAAAATTAGAGACATTTTAGAATTCCAGTGTCGCTAAGTATTTCAAAAGGTAGCTACTTACAGTATTGACAGGAAAATAGTAAATAAAGAAATACAGTTTAAAAGTAATAAAGGGCTTTTGTAACTCCGCTTAATAGAATATACACCAATAGTCATTAATTCAAGATTGGAATGATAATTTTTGCTAGAAATAAATCGAGAAATCTATGCGATATCTCGACAGGTATGTTCAAATTTGCTCCACGAGTACACACAGCTTGTAGCGGTTTAGAATAACAAAGAAAGTTTACAAAGTTCATCACTTCAGCTGTCTTGATTTATCTGCGTTTGGTGCTGGGAACCTAAAATGTTTTTAAAACACACGAGCACATCCACTCAAGGCTAAAAGCCCCCCAAACCCCCAATCTTTTCAAATTATCTTAGCGTTTGAACTGGAATGACTCCACTGTCAAATTGGAAAGTTATAATTCCTTTTTTGACCCTGTGTGATTAACTGTTTTTTCTTCATGAAAGGTGATTCATATGCAAGCCCTGATGTTCCAAAATTGTTACAGGTACTAAGTCACTTAACTTATTACTGCGAAAGATCAGTTTGAAATGACATTATCATATTAATACACAATGAAAAAGAAAAAGGTTTTTTTAAATTCCTCTGTGGCGTTCATGAAGTACATGTTGGTCTCTCAGATAACTATTCATTTTCGAAAATTGATATCTCTTCTTTAGTCCGAGAGTTGTTGAAAAAGAAAGCATATCAGGAGATGTTACGCAGGTATCGCAGAAATTGATCTAAATAACTCCTGAGAAGTTTTACCGCTATTTGAGGTAACTTTTCATTCCATGACTCGCGTTTAGCTGTTGCGTCTTAACTCGTCTTGTTTTGGATCACAACTTTTCGTGTATTCTTGTTGTGTTCGGTGGGAACCAGCGAATCTGATATCTTACACATCTGCAACATTCTCCTAAAGCAAAATATTAAATGTCACCTCGAAAACTTAGTCCTAGAACACAAAAATTGTACTGAAGTTACATAATATGACATTTTTGTCTTCCACCATTGTAGTTCAGCTTTGATCAGGTGTAGTTGCTCATGTCAAGGCGTGTTTCGCGTTGTATGACCGTTTTTGTTCTTGTACAGAATGAATGCGAGATAAACGTTACTGCGAGAAAAATATTGAGTTTGCCGTCAATATTATCGTTCATGCTATTTTATGAGATCTGGCATGCAAGATTATTGGTAAGAGATAACGCACGCTAAGATGAAAAAGAATTTAAAAACATTAAAACAATAATAAAATCTAAGACGCCTTAGACAAGTTACTCTCCTAGAAAGGAGACCTGTATCAGTAATGTATTTGGTTACTACGGGAAACTGATGCTGCAGTGATACCACTGATGAATATCAGAGGATTTGCTGGGGTAATTCCCTTCCTTTGTAGATGATAAACTTACGCAGATAACCTTCTGCTGCCATCGGCCTTAAAAAAAACACTGAAGAACCTCTTGGAGAGTGCATCTTCTTGTGATAAACAGATAGCTCTTCTTACGTTGCGTAATCCCTAGGAACTTTATGCACGTGCAATGTTCTGTGAAGTGTTTACGGTCTTGCCCGCGGAATAATATCTACCATTCTTTTATCTCAAATGTTGCCTTTACTATCGTTGTTTAACGTTTGTTCGGGCTGCAACGTTGGAAAATACTCCCTGGAGAACCTCTGCCTTTTCAGTGAACAGTGCAAGTAATATCAATGTTTGCCTGCCCATACTTACAAGACAGCTGAATCCTTTGCTGAGCGGCTAAACGCATCTCACGTAGGGCGGAACCATACTTGTTCATTTGTAGCAAGTCTCGTTCATGAACGGATTAAATCAATAAAACACGTAGCTAAATACAAAAGAGTTTTATTTCTGTGAATGAGTGTTTTTATCTTTAGTACAATTCTGATAAAACAAAGGCTCTTAACATGGCCTTGAAACGGAAGGCCAAGTAGGAGGAGGTTATCGTCAGAAAATCGAAGCATGTCAAACAGTTCTATAAACGAAAGCTTTGTAGTCCCAGATGGCAGAAGTACTTTTTGTTGAAAACCATCAATTTGGTAGACGTAAAGGTGCGTGAGTATAACTTGAAACATCAGACACATTCGCATGTCCATCGGAGACTTCTGCCGGTGCCAAGTCAAGGTTTCTTCGGTATGTGCGCGCGCTTCACAAAAGACCAATGGTCCATGAAATTTATTTTGGTAGTTCCGTTCGTTGAATGTGCTAAACGACCCCCTTTGTTATTTGAGTGCCTCTAAATCTCTTCGAGGAAGGAAATATTTAATTATAGTCTGCCTGTCCCCCTCAGTGCATTTAACGGCTCACGTTTGAGTTGTACGAGAAAGTGAAGGGGGACAGAAGGGGGGAAGAAGACTGAGGGGGAATACAAGAAATATCCCTGGGAATTTCCTGTGTGAAATCCTTGGGAATTTCCTATGTGAAATCCCTGAGAATTTCCTGTGTGAAACAAGTGGTGAGCGGTTGAGAACCTCTCAGTCTTCTGCCGGACTAAATGAAGTAGATACTCGTGAAAAACAAAGAAAAAGCAAATGTGGGTTACAAAAGGCGGTAAAACGTGTGGTCGTCTAGACTCTTCTGTAATTTATCATTGCACGTCTCATTTTCCAAATTCATTATCAACGTCCCATATTTAAAAGAGCACCTGAAAAGCTTCGCGGGTTTCACCTGCTCTGCTTTCGGTTAAAAAACCAACTGTCATTCAGAACGTTTAGTGAATCACGTCATACAGACAAGATTGTTTCCTCGGCACCTTGCCCAGAAATTTCCACGAAACATTACTATGTCAGAGAATCATGGCCTCCCGAACGTTCGATACGGAAACACCTTTGATTTCAGCTTTACCCACGCATCCATCTCAGTTACGTGGTTGTAAGTTCGGTAACGATTAGAAAAGATTTCTGAGAGTAAATAAAAAGCTATCTCGTTATCTTATTTGCTGAATTAGATGTCTCTTTGCGTTTCGAGATTTAGCTTTTATTTCCGTGATGTGTTGGTTGAACTGAATAAGGCTTAGACTGATTATTGATTAAGAGGATTTCAAGGGACATAAACCAGACAGGAGAATCTTTTTCAAATGTCTGGCTTTTCAATGCCATGAATTTTTTCTTCTCTACGAAAAGACCTAATTGTCGCCATGATGGCTATAAAAACAACGTCGACTTTCATCGTTAAAAGCTCTTGTCGAAAAGAGGATAACTCTGTCACCTCCTATTCCGCCCTTTCCCCTTAAATAAGATGGAAAAAACTATTTCGACTCTTACAAGACAAATGGCCAACCGTTCATTTTCCAAACGTTTTTTTTTTTTTATTTTGCCTTCTTTACATTTTTATTCTTCTCTTAGCTCTCGGGCGAAAAGGTGAAGGGTTTTGGGATTCATCCAGAGGCTTATTTAAACCACCTTGTACAAATGGAACATACGTGCAAGTGCTGCTTAGTAGCTCTTATCATGATGGTGCCAACTTGGATTACAGTAATCCGTTATTTAACAAACAATAACACATGGAAGAGAGAGAGTTGCATAATAAATAACTTTTTTCGATTGGTAACGTACTAGGTTTTATACCTTTCATCCTTCAAATTTAAAACCAACTTGATTAATATCATGAACAGTGCAACTTGAAAGGAATGTTCAATTCATCAGTGTGGAGGTCACACACTAGGGCTTGATCCAGTTAAGAACCGCCTTGCACGGCAAAATAAAAAGAACCGCATGGAAGTACTATTTACGCTAATTTCTACACTTGAATTTTATCCAATTTTAAATTGTTGAAACTTCCTTGCACGAGATATTGAGCATGCTCAGTGACTTACGTTAGAGGAAGGTTTTATGTTTGTAAAATACTTTCTGAAAATTGGCCGTATTAAGGGTGATTGTGGTTTCCAATTGTTTTCGTTTTTTTTTTTTTCTTTTTTTTCTTCGCGATTTGAAGCGTTTTTTGGTCGTGACGTTATCAGATATAATAAACTTATAAATGATCTGCCTTTCGGCAGAGTTGAGATTAAGCCACGTCTTTCTATTGGGTCAGTCCCCAATTGCCTCCTTTCAACAAAAAGGTGAGCGGAACGAGGTTACGCTCTTTCGTGTGAAACGTTCTATTCAAGGAGTGTTGTTTTCAGCCCTAGCTTCCAAAACATCCGCCAATTTTTGTAAGTCTCAAATCCTGCCAAGCTGTTTGATATCTGAAACTTTGTTGACGTTCCTTCCGAAGACCATAAGCACTCTTTCTCTGGTCATCTTGACCTTCAACACCCTAACATTAGTATGCATATTCCTTACGCTCTCCTCTCTTTGCTGGGCGATTATTTTCTTTACTCTCGCGGACCTGAATATCGGTGATGATACGTTAAGGATAAAAGAGATACCAGTTACGCCTATGGGTTTGTGGGTTATAGATTTCAACCGTCAAAATGTCGTACCACTGAATTTGTATGGAATTTCGAAGCGACTGATATGCGATAGCCTTAGTCGGACAAGCATTTGTGTTAATAACTATTCCAGATCTTGATTTCTCTGAATGTGGTTGATTTGAGCTTTCCAGCACTGACTTCTTCAGCTGTGCTTGCTTCGAGGGCCCTTTTCCCCAGAGTTGAATTGAAATCTCGCAAAATTACTGATATAATACTTGCATCCTATAATTTCATGCACATTTGGTACAATAAATTACCTTGATAAATTCCTTAATTCTCCTAATATCCGTGTTAGGGTAAGGTAAGGTCATTGGGAAGGAAATGAACCGTGAGCATGTCGCCTGATCCTGTTGGTTGAATGGTTCTTATCACTGATGCTTTCAAGGAAACGTGAAGTTTGAGAGGAAATAAAATAGAGCTCTGACAGGAGGATGAGGGTAATGTTAATTAGATTTCGCGATCGGATTTAAGTCTGCATGCAAGGCTATGTTACCTGTGCAGAATTCGCGTGAACAGGTGCTGAAGAACATGCGATTTTCCAGGGTGATATCAAAAAAACATTTCCTGCTGTGAAAGTGAAAAAAATTCCATGTTGAACGTGTCTCAACTCGTCTCCAATTCTTTCCAAAAGAAAAGAAAGTTACAGGCAGTGACGATTAGTTACTTTAGTTGACATAAACCATGCTAAGCCGAAGATACAGTGGTAACTGCATGAAACAGAAAAAGCAATTCAATTCGCCCGATTTGCTGTTTACTGAAAAAAATAAATCGTTTTATTAGGGGTTTAGAACATTGCAATTGACAAAATATTGCATCACTTCGTAAAGTAAATGGACAGTGTGGAGATAAAGCTTTGCACACCATCAAGTTCTTGTCTAACTTTACTGAAAAGCAAATTTCCGGGTGTGATTGGCTCAACGACCCTACGAAAGCTATGAAACAATTAACACGCAATATTGCATTTTTAGGTGAAGATTTATTTTCAGTGATTATTTACAGAGCAGTCAGATGTATGAACATTCTTCTGTCAATTAAGCGAAATTGCGTAACAAGCTTCGTTCATGATCAATTGTAAATGAACTGAGAATAAATAGAGTACAAACTCCATGTGTCATAAAAAGGTTTTAGCTCTCAAAAAAACAAACAAACAAACAAGGCAAGAATTATATTACAATAAATTTTAAGGTGGTAACTGAACATTGCAGGAGAGTAGCGCATAGTATGTTACCTTGACATTTTAGACTTGTCAATGCAAAGCTAAGCATTTTCCTTGTAAAACGCAACAACATTTCATAAACGTTCATGAAAAGTAAGTTATGGCCTTGAGTTATCACAGTGTGATTTAAAAGGATGCCAGAATGTTCCCATGAAAGAGCAACCCAACAAAGTAACTGTCTCCTAGTCTCAACTCAACCAATGCTGAAATACTCGGAAAAAATTTTGAATGGATGAATACTATCCTCCAAAATGATGCAGGGTGATTTCGAAAACCGTGGATTTCTCATGGAGAGCCCGCGAACAAGATAAAATTAATAAAAAACTGGAGGATACAGCGGTTGTCTTTGGCTTTCATATTGGCACGAAGGATAGCGTACGAAATGTTGACCGGGAGGTGGTGAGAACGAGAAAGTGTTTATTGGAGCCAGCGAAGAGGCTGGACATACTGAAGACCAAGGCATGAAAGCCGAGGAGAATGAATTGATTGTGTCCCTAGGCTCGTAATACGGGCATGGCTGTAAGCACGGAACCTCTGCCGGATGGTAGTGTCCCCCGCATGGAACCTTGGGGTCGTCCTCGAACTGTCCATCATGCTTAATCTGCTGACGACTCTTGTATCGATGGTTCTGAAACCAAATTTTCACCTGTGAGGGTGTCAGGTTGATCATTCTAGCCAACTGATCTCTTTCAACAGCCGAAAGGTACTTTTGAACGCGAAATCTGCTTTCTAATTGGTACACTTGAGCCTTTGAAAATAAAACACGTCTCTTTTTCTTGTTTGACGCTTTTATCTTGGTAGCAGCTGAGGAATCTGTATCACCTTCTGTTTCTTTAATCCCAGATTCTATGAGAAAACGAACAAATTATTACAGCCTATCATTATCGATTGAGTTAATATAACTAGTTGATCAATATTTAGGCGAGTTATAGATGAGAGAGTTGCGTGCAGGGTTATTTATACCAAAGTCTCAAATAATCATATTTCATCTTTACCAGCAGTAAGGCTGTAGACCACTAAATCGTTTAATGAAAAGCCACTATTTGAAGCGTTATAATCGTCTTAAGCCATTCACCCTTTTGGTCAGTACACGCGCATAACCAGATACAGCAGCCTCTATAGTAAAGAACCAACTGTAATGCCTCGGCACCTCTGTGGTCGCGGTCTTTCGTGAATTGCCCCAACCAGTAAGGTTCTAGCGGCCTTATCGGGACTCATGATCCACCTCTTGTTTTATCAGCAAATTAGTTTTCTCCTAGAGGGTTTAGCTAGCCAGTCGTAAAAAGCCTACTGTTTTGATCATTGAAAGTTTTAGCTCTATGCAGATAATACTGATGGGTCCTTTCGCCATCAAAAACTGAGGAATTGAAGGTTGGCTTAACAAAGAATGAGCTTTACATTGCCAATAAAATCTCGAGGAATCAAGCTTTAAATACGAGAGGTAAACAGGTTGAAAGTTTTGAGATACAGCCAATTGTGCCAAAATCTTTCAAGCATTCAACGAGGTTACTGTTTTCATGAATTTATTACAGAATGACAAGCACATGAAGAATTGTAGTCAAAGATCCCTCTACCCACCAAAACCAGACATATTCTTCTCCTAATCAAAGCTAAATGTAGTACTTAAGCCTGTGTTTACTTTCTAATTTCCGCCATAGCTCACTATGACCTCGTTGAGCGAGCACAGGAAAAGCCCACAAGAGAACTTAACTTGTTCGTGCCAGCAAAACCAGCAGACTTTCCATAATGTCAATTATTTCGTTAAGCACCACGACACAACCCAGTCCATTCACTCGATGCAGAACCTTAGTATAGTCAATTTTTAAGGAAAAAAAATATAACCTCTAACAAATGGATCCTTTACATATCACGACGGCGCTTTTCGTGAAAACTGCTAAGCTTACTTGTTAATCATAAAGCTGTGCTTATGAGCATAACTTTTTCGAAAATTATTAATCTTCAGTAACGCCGAGAAACGACTATCCAAAAAATGTTTCTTTTACTAATTCATGGGAGGGCGAGCATGGAACATTTTAAATGAATGAAAACAATGCTGTGACGTTATCTGTACAAACATGAGAATTAGCAGCTCAACTGATTTGGCGCTCATGGTGTGCATGTTCGGTTAAGCCAGAGTGTCAGTTAGTTTTGATGTCTGATCAACTCTTTTATACTTAATTTAGTTCATAGATTCCAGCAGTTACCAACATATTTCGCCTTGTTTGTTTCTCCACAGGTTAATAAGAGATAAAATCTAATGAAGATCTTAACCATGAACGTGGAAGTAGACATTTGGTCTCAAAGGCCAGTTGTGTGTCGATTTAGCGATACGAGTGACTCTCGGAAGCAAATCAATCCTCCGGGCCACATTTCTACCATTTTTTGAGACCCACTGTTCCAGATTTACAGGCATGTGACAGTTTAGAACCTTCTTTCATTTGAGACTTGACAAGTTGTGACTTGATTGAGTCACTTTCCCGAAATAGAGTGTTCACCGAGTGTGAAAAATGAGCTAAAATGAACAACACCTTTGGTAATAAAATCATTGCGTGTCTTGGTGAAAATAATAATACTTCGATCCAAGAGTGCCTCAAGAACGCAACTCCGCCTACTTCTAAAACATTTACACCTTATAATCTGCAGTGAGTGTAATCTCTTGGGGTCAAAGAACCACTTTTAGACAAATGGCGCCCATGTTGTCAGACGAACCAGCATGAATGACTCCTCTACTGGCACGATTTTCTGTCATTTTCTGTCTATAGTGACCATAATTTTACCAGAATTTTACAGAATTTGACAATCATCTCGTCACTTGACAAATCAGTTTCAACTCTCCGTAAAAGCCTTCATGACTTAATTTGCATGAGAATCTGTGCATTTTTGCACATACTCTAAATTTCCAAGGTTCTCCGCAGTCTAGTTTGTTAAGTGGTTCAAGTATTTCACTTCATGATCTTTTATTCTCTAATTCTCTACAATGCATGCTAATAGCATTTTAGCTTTCGCCTTTAAAACCCACTGTTCAAGGACTTAAGAGGTTCATGATATTGCTAATAGAAAACTGTACCAATTCTGTTGCTCTTGAGTTGGCGTGTTTAAGATAAGATTATTAGAAAGTTGTTGCGTTTTTCCTGTCTACGTTTGAATTTAATCCTAACCACAAGGCTTTCTCGTCAGACAGTGATAAATGCAGTGCTTCACGCTTTTTTTGTGCTTGTCACGTTTTGATTTGAACTGAAATCCACTTAAGCTCAACACAGAATAAAATGAGAAAAGCTAACGTGTAGAAGCTGCTTGGAGAAGCACGTAGAGAGAGTAAATACGGACAGTTATTTCTGAGTGAGTAAGGCTAATTAAATTCTTCCGGAGAGAGAAGATGAAGTTATCAAAAACATCGTTAACATGTCAAATAAACCCAAAGAAATATTATCTTATGTGTTTATCCATAAATCAAAGTCACAACTGGATTGAAAAAGAAACTGTATTAAGAGAAAGAGGAAAGAACACAAGAGACGACGATTTTGTATAGTATGTAGAGAGATATGAGAGCGCGTGAGTTCCGTTTGAAAGCCTGGTGATAGCCACTACGCTGAAATACGGATTTTAATTTCCCATGAAGAACCTGTTCGTGTGCGATAACACAAAGCTTCCTTTGATCTCCTAATGAACATGATACTGAAGTTATCAGTTAGTAATGAAGAGTGGATGAAGAGTGGATGCAGGAATATTCGGATGATCTGGTTAAAACATTATCCAATTTAGTCCTTCTCGATGCTATTTTAATTGGATTCGAACACCTTTCAGAGAAATAATGTTTGCATTTCCCACTTCTAAAAATAATGATCTACAGCTTGACCGAGTTAACCTTTCTTAAAAAGCAATTAATGGACAAGTTTTAGCCTTTGCCAGGCCCTCAGTAGACGAGGACGATCATGAAGAAAAGAGAATTGTTTCTAAGGCAGTGATCACGCGGAATGAAAAGTGTGCAAGCTTCACGATTGTTATCGTGTAAGACAAAAGCCAGGGAAATTATTACCGAATACATCGTGTTCATTAAGCGGTTTTAAGGAAGGAAATTACAGCATCATAACGAAAAGAGTAACCTCCTATCCTGGATTTTACTCCTCATAGCTTTAAATCGCTGAGAGGCGACTAATGCTTCTCTTTCCTGTATTTTTAAAAGTGTGTTTAACACTTATACGTTGTGGCTCTTCCAAGATACGATGCGGAAATACATTGAACCCTCAGAAAAAATATATCCCACGAAAACAAAATTTTCATACTCACCACAATGTTTATCCAACTTATAATCAGGGCTATTGTTGTTCGTTCTCGCCGCGTTGATTTCGACATGTACTGTTGATTTCTCAGCAGATGGAAATGTTTCCGTTTTGATGATGTCTTCTCGATAATCCACCGAGCTTCTTCGAAGATTTTCCTCTTCGTTGCCAGAGCTTAGGATACCGTCGATGGAGAAAGTGATGATTTGCTTTGAACTTAGCTGAGCCATAGTTCTTGCTTTGTACACAAGACGCATAAGTTATCACTAACTCGCGCGAGCTGTCCTGTTTAGCTTTTGCGTGTGGCAAAATACAGGAAATTAGGGCGGGACCTTATCGAGTGGTCTCCGCGTTAACACTAGACAGACAGTCCTCTGATTGGTCCATGGCTGAGGTGCTGATCCGTAAGAGTTTAAAAATAATTTAGATAAGTGCAATACTTTACAAGACAAACAATAACAAAATTGATTTCCTACAACGGAAATGCCAAAGTAGCTGCATGAGTGTTCAATGTTGTTAGTGACAGCGGATTAAGAGGCCAGTCTGACGTAAAACATCACACACGACCCAGAGGTCATTTTTCCGTCTCGTAAACCCGGATTTAGGAGAAATCTGGCACGGAAAACGTGCGAACGTGCTCAAACGGCCCTTCAGTAAGAGAGGACAAGTGATCTTCAAATTAAGCAGCATTAGAATTCCTCTTTCTCATGGCATTCACCAAACCAGTGACGCTCTGTCTCAAACGTCACTCATTTCCTTTTATCGGATTTAATCTGTCAGCCATGTCAAACAAACGATCGTCGTTTAATGGATTTAGGCACGTATTCAAGGACAGTTCATTTGAACTCAATAGACGTTACGATGTCTATCTGCTCATAGTGGAAGCTTTGGGCTGATAAGACGGGGATTAACCCGTAAGGGAAAACGGAAAGACTTGCCAGATTGTTTTATTTCTCTTGATCATGTCAAGTCTACTTCTCTTAGTCCTGTGTATTGTAACGTGTAAGAATCTCCAGAGCTTTAAAGCTTAAAATTAACAGACCCATTAGCTCTTGGCATACGTTCAGGGACCAATGTTTGTCAGTGAGAGGCATGTTTGTGGCCTTTAGGTATGTTTCTTTGGTAAGTAACGGGCACTTCAAGGTCGAAGTGGGAAATTCTTTCATAAAAAGCCATTTTCACCAAAAACATTCAGAGTTTCAGTTATGGACCTTAGACCAGATAGCTTCTCATAATTTGCTTCCCAGGTGGGCTGAGATTGGATGACAGACGTGACTCCCGCAATGATGATGTTGTGTGACACGTGGTCGACCAATTAGCTTGCCAAGTAGTGACTTGGTGATCATGCCAATTGAATGAACATAAATACATCGTTTGTAGCTCTGTTTGGTCTTGTGGATAGTTAACAAAGTAAAACATGAGCTTAAATACACGCTTTTCTTTGAAATCTGTTTTCTAACCGGCTCATGAATGAAACTTCGTCCCATTTTGCTTTTGGTCGTCCAACTTTTGTTCTTGGTCGTCTAGCTTTAAGCCGTTGTCAGCGCCGTCAAGGAAGAACTTTAGTCCATTTTTTCGCAAAACTATTTTGTAGCCACCTTTGTACCTCATGGTTCTTCCTAGTGTCTGTCGAGCTACAAAAGCTCAAAGTACACGAGCAATTGACATATTCAATGACAGTTTCACCTAGTGTCATTCTATGCTTTTTTGGGGAGGTTAAGTGCTTGACTCATTCAATAGCAAATCAGAAACTTTCGAGATTTGAGTCTCCAAGATTTATGAATGAGCGAAGGGAGCTCTAATCCAATTTAGAAAATAAATTTAATTTTTATTGAAACGTAATTTGATTTTATCAGCTTAGACTCAGTACTTTTATGAGCTAAGTGTACCACATAATTACATGTTTCAAATGTAAATGTCGAACTACTTGCCGTTTTTGTGGACTCATCGTTTCTCACCATGTATGAAACGAATTTAAATAAAGAAGTCAAAGGCTAAACAGAAAACAAGCTTAAATGAAGGAGACTTCTGAGGCTAACAAGAAAAACATCATAGAGGATGGAAAGTATGCTCCAACTCTAAATACAAAAGAGATCAGAGCTATGTCAACATCACCATTTCGTAGCGGTCATTTAGAGGCCCGGTCTAAAAGTGAACGGTTAGTCTTACAAAACCATCGTGTCTTTTGAACTAACAACTATTATAAAGATTGCCATGTGTGGTTAGTAGTCCATATTTACCGGAAGATCGAAGATTTTGTTCATAATCACGTACCTAACCACAATGTGGTATTTTTCACACAAGCTTATTATTGTCCGGTGACGCCCCCTCGTTCGAATGTGTGATACCCCATGTATAAGGTTTGTACAATGCAATTACTTTAAACAAACATTTGTGCAAGATATAACCAGGTGTTTGTAGGTTTGTTTTAGAGAACAGCTTGCTGTGATGATGAATTTGCAAATTTTGTGCGGGCAAACTACTTAATTAATAGGCCTAGATTGCTACGGAAGCCCTGACTGCGAACAGCATAGCGTGAAAAGTATCAAAGTAGTCTTTACCAAACTTAACAGTCCTTCAACTTCCCTCGAATACTGCAGCTTAATAAATCAGGTCGGAAGAAACGAGAAATTGGTCATATTTTGCTAGAAATTTTACCTTTTGGTTGAGCAAGTAGTAGGTTTTTTTCCTCCGATGGCAATGAGAGCTAATCTGCCTTGAATTCCGTAACAGTCACAAAGAATAATAGACTTAGCTAATGACGAATGATGAAAAGATCTTCACTTGTAAACTGCAGGTAAGCCTCTGCGAAACCCGAAATGATTTTGTTTTGGCCTGAATTTATATAGTTGCTCCAACCACAGTTTACCCGTACAAATCGATTCCTTTCATATCATGTACAAGTCAAATCCATGAAGCATTCCTTACCCATTTTCTCGCCATTAACTCCATAACATATTAATTGTAAAGTTGGACAACTTTCTTAAGTCTCTCCAAGAAAGGTGACCGTACTTGCTAATAACTTGTGTTCTTTATTACTCGTTTAAGTTAACATGCCCCCTATTTTACAAAACCCAATACAATAACCACTCAAATGAAAGCTACTGAACAGTTCTTTTATATAGTACTCTTTGTTATGCTGTGCAAGGTGACTCTTACTTCAGTTTAAGTGTATGGATAAAACCCACGCGTACCACCATACAAAAGAAAGCTACTTGGCAGTACTTTCAGTTATTGCTGTACAAGATGGTGGTTACAATTAATTCTGTGGATAAAACCCCAATATGAGTCCATTCACATGAAAGGTGGGCATTATTTCCATATGGCCCTGTTTATTATGTGGTACAAAATGGTTCTGACTTTTAAGTTTGTGGATAGAACCCTAATGTGTAACCATGCAAATGAATAGTAATATGCTACAAAATGTACCTCTAAGGTGTGCGATTGAACCCGTTTGCAAATGGAGGCTTCTTGATTGTACTTCCAAGCTTTGTTTATCACTGACAAAACCGCAATAGAAATTGAGTTTCTCTGAGTATGAGCCTGCGGATCGTATCAGCGAAACTCTTCAGATCAAGAACTGTTTCATATCGATTGAAAAGCTACCTAATAGGAATTAACTTGCCGCTTTTTGTTTCTTTTGATCGGAGCGTCTTGTGAGACGAACTTCCACGTTCGTGAGTCTTTCCTAGTTCGACCTTCTGATTTGTTTCTTGTGGAATGTCATTGCAAGTTCGCGACAACAATGAGCATAACACTTGGAGCTGAAAAATTCTCATGTTGTAAACATACATGACTCCTAAACAGAAAAACTGTGTCTAAAATCGCGGAAATTCGCGTAAGTAAACCGAAACCGTAATAGTGTCGGACGACTCAGCTTCGTTGATTCTCGAGAGTAATATACATTGAACTTTGCACATTTTCGAAAATAAATGAATGTATGAAGCGATGCACTTTAGGCAAGAAGAAAGTTGCGTTCATGCGTTTTGTTATGTTTAAGATCGAAATGAGCGCGTTAATCTATCTTGCAAGCTGTTCATGAGATATAGCAGGCACTAAATAAGAAAACAGGGATAGTGTCATGAGTTGGCTTCAATTCATTTTGTGTTGTGCCATTTTGGAGCGAATGAGGAAGAAACGTGTTTCAAAGTGACTTGGGTTTATTTAGCCAAATTCTCGGAGACTATGATTCATTATTTGTCTTTTCTGCTTTGATAACAAAATGAAGATCTTCACCAGAATTATTCACTCAAAACTGCACGGATTTTCGCACGTCTCGAATTCATGCGGTGTAAATACCCTCCTTGCTGGTGTTAACTTGCTGTTTTTTAAGAAAGATGCAGATGGGCTCAGTTGAATTTAGACACTGCATCAACTTGGAAAGTCCGGAAGTATTGTTAGTCGAGTGCTGGAGTTCAAGAATTTTTTTAAACCACTCAACTGTTCCTTTCTATTACTTAAGAATTTATGTACTGCTTGTTATGGCCGGCAGAGCGCACGCAGCGTATAATAGCTAACTTCACTCAGGACTCGTGCAGCAATATTTCTTCGAATTCAAGTAACCTTTGTCCATGTGTAAAGTCGGATAAATATAGCGTGGCGATATTCCCATGTGCTTTTTGTTCGCTGCTCAGTCAGGAAAATGAGTCATCCAAATAGGCTATTCCTTTGCCGACGCAGTGCAAGGTCGTAGGCCCCGCTTGTGTGTAATTTTGTAAGCCAATCCGGATGCATATTTCGCACGGAATGTGACAATTGCTCGAGGCAATCTCATGTCAAATATTCTCTCAAGAAAATGAAATTAACTCCTGGATGTGAAGTTCTTTAGTTGCAGATTATACCAGCTTGAATTATTGCCACTAATTTACCTTGATTGACAGTGGTTTTGATTACCGTTTGCCTGTCAGCTTAGAATATTTACTGTACAAACCACTCACGCTTTGGTAAAAATGCTTTTGTTATTTTTATTCTGTTGTCATTTTTTTGTTGTTGTTGTTTTTGAGCTTATGCGAAGGAGTAAACCCTCGGTGATGGAAGTTCCAATTTCTCGAGGAAAGAATTGTTTCGGCGAAGAGACACAGTATTTTTAGAGGCGTGTTTGCGTAAACACTTCAGCAGGTTAAGTTGGTTTGGTCGTGCTGGGTTTCTGGACAGAGTCTAAACAACTACTTAAACAGTAGCAGTTATAATCCATTATCTAAATCTTTTTTGTTAAATTTTAAGAATTATCAGCATCACACAAAATTAAAGCAAATAGCGTATAAAGGATAAAATCACTTGTGCCCTATGACATCTAAGACTACATTTTCATAAAGGGCTTTCAGTGAACCGCAACTGCATTTCTTAAGCCCATTTGTGTTAAAGGGCGTTTGCTAGGATTTTACTGACCGATTAGAACTCATATCTTGTACAGCATAATATACATACCACATGGAAAGTAATGCTTAGAAGCTTTCATTTAAGTTAACAAAGTTAAAGATAGCTTTCATTAGAATGGTAACGCATCACAGATACACTAGGTGGGTTGCTACCTAAATTAATATTGTTTGAAGCTGTTTGACAGTTCCTATTGAATTATGATACACTAGGAGGGTTTGCCAAAAGACTTAAGAGTCACACCCTTCTAATGAGCATGATAAAATTACTTCTTGAAAGTGCTGCTTAGCAGCTTTCAGAGGAATGCATGGTCACACATTAAGCTTTCATTCGCAGACTTAGAAAAAGGTAGACAATGACACAGACTTAGTTAGAATCACCTTGTATATTGTTTAAGAGCGCCCTGGGAAGTTACTGCATGGTAGCTTTCATTTGAAAGGTCATACAGTGGAGTTTTATCCACAGAGTTAAAACTACCTTTTGTAGCACAATTAAGAGTACCACATAATAGTAGTACTGCTTGGAATTGTTTCGTAGGATGGTCACAGACTACAGCGTTTAATTTATATTGTAACTCACTGACTGAAATGAATGAAGATCCTAGAACTGCACATTAGTCCAGGTTGATTAGTGTTTAACGGGAGCGTATTTCTTATCTTTACCTTATAATGTGGGCTTTCTCTCGACTCAAACCACAGTATGGTATCAAAGAGGAATTTTGTCAGCTCCATGTAAGTAGTTTTAAAATCTGCAGTGTTAGTAGTTATTGCCTGCTAAATGTTCTTCGTGGAGAATTAAAATTGCTAGACAATATCCCATTACTTCTTATCTTCTATGTCCGGAGTTTGAGTGCGATTAGCGACACTAAGCTTCTCTGCGTACACTCAGTGAATATCGAGATTTAACCAGATTTCGTAAGTGACCTTTACGCTCTTATCCTCTGTTAGTTATGGTCTAAAATGCCACTGAAAACAAAACACCCTCTCACGAAAGAGAGTGTGCCAAAATCGTTACGTTAAAGCTCGTCAAAAACGTGATACGCCCCACAAAGCCCGTGCAATACTTTCATGAGATTTAAACCACTTGGGTAAATCTTCACAGCTCGTGGCTTTGGTTGGTTCCGTCAATTCGTGCTGGAAAGTTTATTCTGCGTAAGACAGAGTGGGATTGTTTTTGATAAAAACAGACGACCGCCGGATGTGGCTTTCAAAATGTCTCTTCGTTCCATAAGAAGCAACGAGGGTTTTAATAACCCCTTTTAACGCAAAGATATAACTTACAAGTGTGTCCTCTC